CCCCCCGGTGAAACACAAAAAGCTTTGGTATAAATTTGTAAAATAACAGTCCATATTACCTGTAAATAAGGAATTTTTGTTTCGCGGGGGGGGGGGGGGGGGGAGATGTTTTAAAAATATTTTCAGTTTTCCGTTGATTTCTATAGTGAAAAACACAAGTTTTGCCAAAATTATAGAGTTATCTCTCTTTGGTATCCCAAATAAGTAAAGTTTTATGAAAATTCATATGAATATCTATAAAAATTTTGAGAATCATTCCAATATGTTAACTTTTGAGAATTGACTTAGAGATAGGCGGAAGAATAATACTATCCTTCGTAGTTCTTTACGCCCTTGAATCTTGACCTTTTGACCCCAAATTCAAAAGGGTCTTCCTAAGGCCACAAGGATTCTGTTATGTTAAATTTCATTGCAAAAGCTCAAAGGGTTGTCGAGATATCGTGTGGAAACGAAAGCGTTACAGAAAGACGGATGGACGGACAGCTAGACGGACGGACGGACAGATAGACCCAAATTAATATCCCCCACTTTTCAAGCAGGGGACAAAAAGTATCAAATCAGGTTCAAATGATAATTTATCATACCTGAGATTTGTCGGAATATTGACTAAGCCATGCAGAATTTTTTTTCAAAGTGCGTTAATATGGTCGATATTAACGCACTTTGAAAATTTTTTTTTTTTTCAAAGTGCGTTAACCTGGTCCCAAAAATTAACGCACTTTGAAAAATTTTTTCAAAGTGCGTAATTTTTTCAAAGTGCGTTGCCACATAGCTCTTATTTTCTTTTTTCAGAAAAAGTTGCACTAATTAAGATTTAAAAAAACTCTGAATCTTTTTTATTTAATGGTCATATTGCCACTACAGAAATTTTAACTAGAATACATATACTATATGCTGATATAGAATTTGTGAAAAATATGTTATGGGTAGTCCGAAAAAAATTAAATTTAATAGTCATTATTTTTTTAATTCACCCACATACAATAAATTGCTAAAAAAAAAAAAAGATAATAGAATTCCTATTTCTAAATATTTTATGGCCATAATATTTTGAATCCCCCTCTCTGTAAAATTAAATGGACAGGGGGACTCAATATTTTATGGCCATAATATTTTGAACCACATCCCTCTTAAATTAAAAGGACAGGGGGGTTCAATATTTTATGGCCATAATATTTTGAACCCCCTCTCTTTAAAATTAAATGGACAGGGGGACTCGATATTTTATGGCCATAATATTTTGAACCACATCCCTCTTAAATTAAAAGGACAGGGGGGTTCAATATTTTATGGCCATAATATTTTGAACCCCCCTCCCTCTTAAATTTAAAGGGCAGGGGGACTCAATATTTTATGGCCATAATATTTTGAACCCCCTCCCAGTAAAATTAAATGGAAGGGGGACTCAATATTTTATGGCCATAATATTTTGAACCCCATCCCTCCTAAATTAAAAGGACAGGGGGGTTCAATATTTTATGGCCATAATATTTTGAACCCCCTCTCTTTAAAATTAAAAGGGCAGGGGGACTCGATATTTTATGGCCATAATATTTTGAACCCCCCTCCCAGTAAAATTAAATGGGCAGGGGGGCTCGATATTTTATGGCCATAATATTTTAAAACCCCCTCTCTGTAGAATTAAAAGGGCAGGGGACTCAAGATTTTATGGCCATAATATTTTGAACCCCCCTCCCAGTACTAAATATCACTGCTATTGACACTTAGGTGTAAACACATCTCCCCTTTGCAGGTCAAGAGGAATAACTCCTATTTCTTTTGAGGATAGATTGTTATATTAATATTTTTCAATATTATTCAAACTTTAACTTTTTAAGGTAGTCTGGCCTCAGGTTCTGAAAACCAAGTGTTGAATAATTGAAAATATTCATAAACATATTTCTGATTTCTCAAAGTAATGTATATGTTACAGTAAATATGTGAAATCAGGAATTTCACGTATTTCCTAAACTGTTCAGTAAATACATGTATTTACTGGCTGTTTTAGGAAATACATGTAATTACTAAATTGCTAGGAAATTCGTGTATTTACTAAAAATTTTAGACCACTTTACGCGTTTTTACTGAACTTGCCAGGATGACTATACACATAAAATATTCAAGGAGTGTACAAATACTAGGTTTCTTTTTAGAATTGCACTCTGTAAGTCTTTTTGTAAAGAGCTGACACTCGTCATAAGTTAATTTGTGTGCACTTTCTATTTAAAATTCCCTTTAAGGAGGAATTCGTTAAACTAAGGTTTTGTCATTAAGATATTGACAATAGTTTCATTATATGATATGCTTTTCAGGAAATTTTTTGGGCATTTTTCCAGAGACAATATAAACTAAGAATTGTTTGATCTGAAATTCAGGTGCTTCAGGGTTTTAAATTTCCTGTTAGTAAATGCATAGTAGCATACTATGAGTTTGTAATATGTGTGAGAAAAAAGTTCGTAAGCAATTTAAGTTTCTTAAATTAAAAAACTAGGAGAAAAAATATGAATACCTTTTCATTTATTTGATAAAGTACCATTTAGTTTGAGTATCCCTTGAAAAAGAAAATAACCGATTTAAGAAAATAAAAGTAGCACATTTATTTGTATCTTATTTTTTAGTGTCATTTTGACCAAATACTTTATAAACACTCTCATACATTCACATATTTAAAACTTGCATGTCAGTAGGGGCATCCTTTTTAACCATGACACATATAATGGATGATTTTATCTGTAAGTTTATTAAAATATTTACAAACTAGAGGTACTGTGAACAATGAGCTCACTAAATGATACCCCCCCGCCTCCCATATGGTTATAATGGCAAAGTCCATGTTTTGCTGTGGCCAGGAAACCCAAAATATGTGTCGGATCAAAAAGTAGAATAGGAGGTGCACAATGGCAATATGTAATAAAGATTCTGTGAAAGTTTCATTAAATTTCCCTCAGTGGTATAAGAGGAGTTGCGGATAAGAGATAGGTATCCCAAAGCGTAACAGACAGATGGACAGCTAGACGGACAGACGGACATATCGATTACAGTATACCCTCCCACTTTTCAAGCGGGGTGTATAATAAAGTATTTCATTTTAGTAAATACATAAACAAATTGAAAATATCTTTATATGATTCTTCTTGACATGTTTTATAAGAATATTATATTATTCATTCATTACATGTAAAAGTTTAAAAACTATTTCATACATTTCTCTGAAAAAAATGCATGATAAAGAATAAAATAAATCAGAACTAATATCGGTCTGTAAAGGCTTAAACCAAATTTTAAAAGGTAAGTCGTAAGCATCATTAAATACATGCAAATCTGGTTGTAGTATTCCTCTTTATACCCCCTGCTTGAAAAGCGGGAGGGTATATAGTAATCGTTATGTCCGTCCGTCTGTCTGTTACGCTTTGTTGTACCCATCTCTTATCTGCAACTCCACTTATACTGCTGAATGACATTTGATGAGACTTTCACAGAATCTTTGTTACATAGTGCCATTGTGCACCTTTCTACCTTTTGATTGGACACATATTTTGGGTTTTCCAGAGCGAAACTTTGACACTGCCATTCTTTTTTTATAGTATTGAAGGGTACCCATCTCTTATCCGCAACTCCTCCTATACCACTGGACAAAATTTAATGATACTTTCACAGATTCTTTTTTACATTTAATATGTCATTTTGCACCTCCTATTTTACTTTTCGATCTGACACTTATTTCGAATCTCCAAGAGCAAAACAGGCACATTGTCATTATTATCATATGGGAGGCGGGGGATATCACTTAGTGAGCTAATTGCTCACAGTACCTCTAGTTTATGTTAATATTTATTTCAGAAATCAACATTAGACAGAAATATGTGACCTACAAATATCTACTTTTTATAAGTCTGTTTCTAAGACATTCATAGAACATTGAATCACACTAAGATGCATAAAATGAAAATTGTTGCATATAAAGATTTCAAGCTTCATCAGGGACATTGGCAAGTGCATGTATTTTACATTGGGGAGGAAATTGGATTGAAAAGGGGGAAGGGGGGGTTGCAACTAACCTTTTTGTGATAAAAACTAAGAGTTTCTGCCAAAAATTTTGAAATTTGCCTTCAAGTCAATAGCATAGAGGTATATTCTGATTAAAAAAGAACAATAAAAATTTCATAACAACAGAATGTTTCATGTACTAAGTTACATGTGCAATAAATAAAACAAAACTGTACATTTTTAAAAGCTTTATGTAGGAAGTAGTTTTATCAATTTATTATAACCCGGCCCTGCTTGAAAAGCGGGAGGGTATATAGTAATCGGTATGTCCGTCCGTCCGTCTGTTACGCCTTTGGGGTACCCATCTCCTATCCGCAACTCCTCTCATACCACTGAAAGAAATTTAATGAAACTTTCACAGAATCTTTAATAATTGTTGCCATTGTGCAACCCCTATTTTACTTTTTTGATCTGACATATATTTTGGATTTTCCAGAGCAAAACATGGACACTGCCATTATATTCATATGGGAAGCGGGGGGTATCATTTAGTGAGCTCATTGCTCACAGTACCCTTATTTTTTTGGGAAAACAGCATAGAGAGAACTATGAAGGGTTTATGATGAGGTAAAAATTAGAATATACATAAAATTATCATTTTTTATTATTGTATAACATGAGCTCGGGGACCGTTTACACATTTTAAAATCAAAAACAATGAGTTTTTCTTTCATTTGTTCATTATTAAAATGTTGAAGTTTAATCATTATTATTTTTATGTCCTTTAAAAAGAGTTTTTTAATAATGAATGCAGTATTTATTAATAACAAATTTTTTTCAATTTGTAAATTAGTCCTTTCGTGAAAAAGATAATATGAAAATTTTGGAGAGACTGTCATATGAAAGTCAGTTTAAAGTTAATCATTTAAATTCTCCAAAGAAAATCTTTGAACTGTAACAGTATAACGTTCTATTTTTAGAATTGTCAATTTCTTTAAAAGGCCATTGATCATTCAGGGTTATATACAAGTATACATGTTATAAAACACTGAACACAAGGCATTATTATTTCTTTTAATTGGAGTACTAAACACTTTGGTAAGATCCTGTTATACATTGAATCTTTCTACTTTTAAATATTTATCTTTACATTTACAGATCATCTTATATTACTTAGAGATTCATTACTCGTAAAGAATATTCCCTTAAATTTATATAAGATTTAATATGTCCCAAGCAGTGTTAGCTTCATATATATTGATTAAATCTAGTTTATCATGGACTTTAAACATTGTATGGGATACTGTTTATAATAAGCATTTACTTATTAAAGGCAGAGGTCAGGGAATTGATTATTGGAACATTCCAAAAAAGTGTTGCATCTTTTCAGGCTTAGACCGATATCTTTATATATATTGACACGAAAAGACCACAATACATGTATGCATATGTAAGGCAGTAGAATTTTCCTTGGTGTCCTAAGATTTGTAGATATAACTTAATGCAGTCCTCTTTTTATATGAATGATAAAATTTATAATATTTTTCTCTCAAATTTGTGGAATAAAAAGTTTTCCTTTTAAAAATATGGGGATTTATTTTAATTGATTTGAATTTTTAAATTTTAAACATAAAGTAATTGATGTTGACTCAAGGTGTAGCTGAAATGTTTACATTTTATTCTTACTTCTGTCAAAGCTAAACTGAGTTCAATCTTTACAATGAATCTTTACAAAGTAAATGGATCTACATATAAATCTCAGTTCATTTTCTATTTCCTGTTATGTCACATAATGCAACATCATTGTAATGAGCTCTTGATGATATTAAAGTAAACCTTTAATATGTCCTATCTTTATGTGTTTTCTGCCTTCATGATTTAAATCCCTAGTCTTGTGTCTAGTACAATTGCCAGGTGAATCAGAGCATGGGAAAAATCCAATACACAAAATCCAATGCTACTGAGATAGAGCACTTTCATAGAAAGCAAAACAATTTGAATTTTCGTTTCATCTTACATGGAATTTACGAATATATGATTGTGATTATAATGAAATTACAAATGTGTATGATATTATTTCCTAATTTCTGTGTTTAGCACCAGGATTTTAGCGATGTTTGGGAACGCTCTACTGAGTCTATTGATCGCTGATGTCCTGTGGCAATGCCTGGCATACCCGTCAGGCTCACCCGGCTGTAAACAAGATGAGGCTCCCAAAAAAGATTACGATTTCGTCCCATTTCACTCGGGACCAGTAAACGACGAGAACCTTCCTTATTATGTGAATTCTACGAAATCTGGAAAAGAATGGACAGGTTTGACAATTCTACATATTAAAGATACCATTGTATAGATATTTATATTATCAATATTGAACTATGCATGGCTAATTAACATGTATAGTGATGGGGTTGTCCTCTCACTGTCAGTCTGTCATGTTTTGGTACCCTATGAATAAAACTGTATGATACTTACTCAGAATCATTATTGCATAATTTCACTGACTACATGCACCCTCTACTTTATGTTTTAAATGGGCAGATACAGTGTATTTGGGCTTTCCCATGGCAATTAAAAGATAGGCTGCCATTATACTCATATGGGACTTCTTGTATCATTTTGTGAGCTCATTTAAGATCAGTTACTCCAATTTATCTCTTAAAATTGTACACTTAGGAATTAACACAAAAATGAAATCATGTACATTAGGATGAGATTTTTCAAGGTTATTTTTGTTTTACACAGTGGTGATTTGGGCTTGGAATAGTTACTTTAAAGGATTCCTCCTACGAGTTATGCCAATGAATCCCTCTGAAACAGTAACAGGAAGTTACATCACAATGCCTAGCAACACACGGAGCTGTTCAGATACAGTAGGTACTTAACACAAACAGATACTGTAGGAGGGAATAAAGAAAAGGCAGCATTGAAAGTTCTTTAATGATAACACTTAGTGAAAATATCACAAGTGCATGCCCATTTAGAACAAAATGATGAAACATTTTTCACGTACCTCTGAAAATGTTGACAGTGACACCTTTTAACATTTGAAAGAAATGATTGTACAAACAAGTACAGCTTTAATGTTCTTTTTTGGCAAAATTATCTTTCGCACATTTTCAAATTAAGATTTTTTATCGAATTAAGACTTTCAGAAGAAAAAGAAAATGTTTTTTTTCATGAATTAATTGCTGGTAGTAGACAAATGTTAGTTGAAAGGAAATGTGATAATCTATTGATTATTTGCTAACAAAATAAAGGTATATAAATTATTAAAAGGAAACCAAAAAAGTTATTTGACAGTGTTGATGATCTTCCTCTATATGATTTGAACAAATTCTTTTGAAATGTTTTACAGGATGCCACACACAGTAATGCTAATACCAATCACCTAGCATTGACCTTTGTATGGAAACAGAGTAGTGAAATGTCGGGGGATGTGTATTTCAAGTAATTGTATAATTATTTTGAGGTCAACTAATTTGATATAGACCCAGACAACATAATATATATTCTTTGATGATATGCAATATGCAATTTTGTAAAAAAAAAAATTAGCTAATATAAATTTAATTAAAGAAGGCAATGTTATCTGGCTCATTTTAGAATAAGAAATTGTTTTATGATTGAAGAAGTCTGAAATTAAATTGTTTAATATAATAAAGGACATTTTATTAAACATCAAATCGTATTCCTTACAGAGCTACTATTGTTCATAGTAAAACCACAAACTACAAAATAACCACTTCTCTGCCTAAGTTCTCGGTCGTGCGAGATCCAGAATGTGGATCCTCTAAAGAATGCCTGTCTGACTGCCACGGTGGTACCTGTACCTACCAAGTCAGCTGGCAAAAAAATGGAAATCTCATCAGGTTTGAATTTCTACAGGACTTTGGAGCCGGCAATAAATATCAAGCTTTAGGATTATCAGACGATCAAAAAATGGTAAGTACAATAGAATAATTTAGAAAACAGGTGAAAATCTTTCAGATGTCTTTGCAAAAAAAAAAGTTCATAAGAAGATATATGACTTAATTATAATCATGATACAATAATGATATTTCAATGCAAGGTTTCACTTGTGCAAATTTTTTTTTAATTGATGGTATATTGTGAGCTTCAGATTTGATTAATGTAATGTTTTTTCTTCAGGGTAATGACAGTGTAATGGTTTGTAAGGCCTATGGAGGAAAGGTGGAAATTGAGCAAGGATACAACATCCCCAGTATGTTTAAGTTTAGACCAATCACCGACGTAAGTTTACTCCTATTCATCTTCATAACATGAAACCTTCTCAGTCATATAGCCTTACAAGTAATTGGCTGGAAAGTTGTTTCCATAACAAAGAATGGGTTATGTGAAAATTGTAAACGACTATTTTTGATGGACTAATATTTGTTAACAGTGTTCAGTTGAAACAATGCAAATGAAACTTCAGATCCAAAAATACTATTTAGGCCTTAAAACAAAGTTACAAAATTAAGTGAAAACTTTCTGAGTTTCTGTTTGACCCATTGACATAGAGATCCTGATTTTTATGCCCGCCATGAATATGGCTGGGGCATATAGTGTTTCTCATGTCTGTCTTCCATTCTTCCATCCTTCCGTTCTTCTGTCCTTCTGTCTGTCCTTTCATCACACTTTGTGTTTAGCTCAGTTCAAAGCTCAATTTCAAAGAAACTATACAAGATCTTTTTATCAAACTTCATATGCTGATACATATTGATGAGAGCTATGCAGCTGCATCAACATTTTTTTTTACCTTACCTTTCATTTGACCTTAACTTCATTTATTTTAAATTAGTTTTTAGCTCAGTTTTTAATAGAACATTCAAAATATTTTTATCAAACTTCTTATGCCGATACATATATATGAGAACTATTCAACAGCATGCATAAAAAATGTTTGACCTTGAACTTTCCTGTGACCTTCACCTCACTTTTCTTAAATTTTCATTTTGCTTAGTTTTAAACAAACCATTTAAGATTTTTTTATGTAAGCTTATGCACTTATACATTATTATGTAAATATTTATCATCTATATCCAACTTTTTAAATTTCAATTTTACAGAAATTTTTTAAAGATATTCTGATCAAATTTCATTCGCTAATACAAATTTTCATGTTGCATTACTAATATACCCATGCATTTTGCGTTTTAAACAAACTATTTAAGATTTTTTTATGTAAGCATGCACTTATACATAATTTTGTGAATTCCTATATCCAACTTTTTAGGACATATTCCTTGTTTTTTTATACCCTTGAGATTTATGTCATATGGACATATTTCTAATTTATTTATTAGATTTTACCTTAAAAAAACCTTTGAAATACATAAGGTGTTAATTCAAACACCTATAGATAATCTTGTAAAGCTGAATGTGTATGTATTCATAAATGAGAATTTTCCTTTCAGCCAAACGACACAGAAATCAGTGTTATAGAAACATCCCAGATAGACAATGTGATCAGGTGTGTGGTTGAGCGGACCATTAACAGTACGAATCCAGAGGTCTTCAGCTTATCTCAGCCCTGGTACGTCCTACATTCCATGGGAGCTGTTATAGGTAGGTATAAACTTAACACTGCTCCAGAAACGCAATGCAGAATGTGTTATGAATAAATCAATTTTATATCAAACGTCTGTGGCATATTTTCCTATTAAGGTAAATGTTCTTAGGATATGACAACAGAGCTTCGTTAGGCAGATAACCAAATCCATATATCCATTATCACTCAAAAAGTTGCTGAAAAATTGTGTTGCAAAATGACAACAGATTCAAAAGGCCATTCATAAATACTAGGCTATATTTTGATCATAAAGTTCTATTTAATTAAAATTATTTTGATTCTTTTATTAATGCAAATAGAGAAATATTGAAAATTATTATAAAATTATATAGACATTTTATCATAGCTCCTTGCAATTTACACAGTATTAACAGATGGCTATGTTAGAAACCTAATTTTGATGGTGATACCATCTACAACTTTTAAAATCTAATACATTGTCCCCAGAAAATGAATACTACTATAGAATAACCAAAACCACACTAAGCTTCAGATCATTGTTAATTTTACAAAGTAAAAATACCCATAAACTAAAAACAAAAGTTATGTTTCTACCACATTAAAATTAAGATCAAAACAAAAGATCAAATTCAATGCATTAACGGATCAATATTTATAAAACTATAGCCACTAACTAAAAATAACTGATGTTTGCATGCTCAAGACATATTGCTGCACAGGGTCTCAAAACTTAAAATTGGTTATAAACAAATTGTCTTTAAGGTCAGGTGAATCGGAACTGTATTCAGCATATGCTAGGGAAAAAGGTCATTATCTGAACTTACTGACTATTTTCAAATACTAACAACTTGATAGATAATTTTTAGTTCAAGATCCTCAGGATAAACAGTTGTTTATAATTTTATTGTATATAAACTTATTTCATTTCAGATGGCAATGTTAGCTATCATTACACCACAAAAACAGCCTCCCCCAGTGAAGTAAACTTCTTGTCAGTGGGGACTGTACACACAACAGCTGTGTCTTCAACTACGACGACACTCAAAGCTACCACTACACTACAGACCACGGTATAGGTCATTTTGTTTGACATATACAGTAAAACTTGATTATTACAAAGTCACTGGGACCTGTGAAATTGCTTTGCTATATCCGTAATTTGTTATATCCGTATAAGGAATTTAATTGCTAAATTTATACAGCTGGGAATCAAAAAAAAACTTGGCTATATCCGTGAAAGCTCAATTTGGTGTACGTATTAAACGAGTTTTACTGTGTAAAAGGGTTACTGATTTCAAGGACTTTTAATTAATAAAATGAGTTGTGAAAAGTCAAACATCCTTAGGTAGATAAAGAGCTTATTTTCCTGTAAAATATTTGAATATAAAAAGTAGAGCAATGCAGGGTTTGATAACTTTACAGGTCTTTTAATTTTCTATAGAAAAATATATCATTTTGTAAAAAATTAATTTTTAGTTCTCAGGCCTTAAATTTGAAAACTTAAAAAAATTATATAAAATGTAAAACTTTGAATAAATTGTTATTTCAAGCATTTTATAAAAAGTTAATTCACGAATTATCTGACACTCAGGATCAATGTGAACATCTTTCTGCAAGAAGCATTTAAAGGGGCATAACTCAATTTTCTTTTTCAACATTGAAAAAATTTAAGTTCTTTCCATTTTCATATTTATAAGTAAAACTGATAAATCCAGAGATGTGGTGGTGCTTGAGAAACTTTTTATAGATTAATAGTTAATTGCTTTTATTATAAAAAATGTGAAAACCTATCAACTACTGTGTCAAAAGGTGTTACATCCTTATTCAAGATTCCTGAGTTAATATAATTAACCATACAGTTTTTATTCATTGATTTAAACCATTCAACAACTATTGAAATCTCACTTCCATTATAGACTCTTTTTCTATCATTTTTTCTAAAATTTAAATATTAACTAAAAATATTTTTCTCTGTAAAATTCAGACTTCTGCATCTAACATTTCCCCTGACCCAGAATGTGGGACCACCAAAGGTTGTCTGGAAAGTTGTAGTGGAACCAGATGCACTTATATGATAACTTGGCAAAAGCGAAATGACTTAGTAAGATTTGAAATGATGCAAATGTCACTGGGAAACCAATATCAAGCCATTGGACTTTCAAGTGATGCCAAAATGGTAAGTCAAATATGAAATTGAAAATGTGGCCAACCACAATTATTGGGATAATCATGTTTGATCTTACATTTAACTTTAATATCAGTTATTCTGGTAAAAATGCAGAGAAACAGACTATCTATTCTAGGCAGGGTTATGTTGAACAGGCTGCATATTATTATACCCTATGTGGTATAAATTCTAGGCAGGGTTATGTTGAATGAAATTTGATAAAACTTTTAGGCTGCATATTTTTTTTTTGTATGGAAAATAATTTGCCATTGAATCAAATGCTTATACATAGGTTTATTTTGGAAAATAATTCTTGAATAGCTTATACATAGGAGTGTTTGTTAAATAACACTGGTTTTTGTTGAAATGAATTTCCCTATAGATTATACATTTTTATGCCCCCATTTAAAGAAGGGAGGGCATTTTGCTGTCAGTCGGTTGGTCTGTCTGTCTGTCTGTTGGTCCTCCATTGGTTTCTGTTTCTTGTTAGGTTGTGTGTAGGTGGTACTCCATGTACTTACAAATGGTTGCTCTGTTTTACTTATAAATACCTTTGTATGTATTCAACAGGGTGGTGACAGTGTGATGTCATGTAAAGTAAACAGTGGAATGGTGTCATTTGAGCTGGGATATACCACTGGGACATCATATTTAGCTCTTCCAAGTGTATGTTTTATAAATATTATTGGGCAAACCACTTGATCAGCTATCCTCTGTTATCAGCAAACCCATAATTTAAATTTTCTGAAATGAAGCTGAAATTTTAAAAGATTTACTTCTTTTCAGGTCTTTATTTAATTATCAGAAGCAACCAAAAACTTATTTTAATTGGGATGAAATTCACCTTAAGGATTAAAGAAATAATTCCTGCCTTGGTGGATATACTTTGAAAATTGAAAGATTCTGTCCTATTCCAAAGGATAAGGTTGTTATTTGCCAACTAAATTTCAAGACTGGGGGGTATATTCTCCAACTTTTTTGACTACAACAAGGCAGTCCTTAATTATATATTATAGATTTTTATAAAAAAAAATGTTCCATTATTCTTAAGATTGTCTAAATACATGTACTTGTAGTTGGCAGGGAGTGGCGTGAGAGTCCTAGAGACCTCGCAGACAGCAGGCAGGGTGAGGTGTGTGGTGGAGCGGACTCTGGACAGTATCAACCCCAAGGTGTTCAGTCTGACACAGAAGTGGTATTTACTCAGATCCACCGGACCTCTGGCAGGTGAGTTGTGTGTCACAGGGTTCACAGGTGGGTGAAAGTCAATCAATATATCGGGTCTCAATAGCTCAGTGGTTAGAGCGCTGGCACGGTACATCAGAGGCCCTGGGTTTGAGTCCGGTTGCGACTTGACTTTTTACCATCTGTGACGTGTATGGTGGAAATGTACTGATATTTAGAATGAGTAAAGGAATGACAATTGAATGATTTTAACAACTCATATGCTGTATGTTCAAAGTATTGCTAAAGCTAGGTTGCAATCCAGATTGTAGATCATCTAATTTAGATTGCATGATTAGAGCATTTTATTGATGTCCAAAAAATAATGATTAGCAGAAAGTGATTTAATTTTAATTAAGGTAGTCCACTTAGCTGTTTCACTAAAATTTTTAGTAATTGTGATATCAAAATTATGAATTAAGCTTACCCTTGGGAGGGGAGGGGGGTTTGTAATTGAATTTGAGAATGATATACATGTATTTGGACTTAAATTTCCACTTCTGTTGTAGGTAGCACTGTAACAAAACATAGTACAAAGTCTGCCAGCAGTTCCCCTGTAGATTTCCTATCAACTTCACTTGTGACAGAGGAACAGCCAGATAATCTCATGGTCAAAATTCATGGTAATGGATTCAAGTCATTGACACTTGTATATGCACATCTTTTGAATATTTGATCTTTCATTTTGATACATATATGATCTATGTTTTTAAAGGTTTATGATTTTTAGTTCACCTCGACGAAGTCGAGATGAGCTTATGCTATACCCCCGGCGTTGGCGTCGGCGTTAAGCACACCCAAGGAACTATTATTTGGACCAAACTATATATGCATAATTCCAGACTGTGATATCTGACCTACATTTTGTAGATGAGTGACCAGGTTAAAGTTTTTGGAGCAGGTTAAAGTTTTTGGAGCAGGTCCATTCCCAAGTTAAGCCCTACCTGTGGTTTGCATGGATGATGCATCTAGGGATGTTACCAGACTTGCTTCTGATGTGTTGTGTGTTAAAGTTTTAGGAGCAGGTCCATTCCACAGGAACTATCAGCCCTATTTGGACCAAACTTGCATGGATGATGCATCTAGGGATGGACACTACCAGACTTGCTTTGGATGCTGGATCTGACTACATTTTCATTCCCACTTAACTATGTTTTTGCATGGATGATGTATCTAGGGATGTACACTACCAGACTTTTGCTGGATCTGATTTATTCCCAAAAAAATCCCTATTTGGACCAAACTTGCATGGATGATGCATCTAGGGATGGATTTGCTTCAGATGCTTTATCTACATTTTCATTCCCAAATAACTTTAAGCCTCTACCTGAACCAAACTTGCATTGGTGATGTTTCTAGGGATGGACACAACCAGACTAGCTTCGGATGCTGGATCTGACCTACATTTTCATTCCCAAGTATCTATAAGCCCTTTTTGGACCAAACTTGCATGGATGATGCATCTAGGGATGGACACTACCAGACTTTTTTCTGACCTACTTTTTCATTCCCAATAAATCTTGCGTGGAATTATTGTAAACTTTGCTTAATCTGACCTACATTTTCATTCCCAAGTAACTATAAGCCCTAGCTAAACCAAACTTGCATGGATGATGTATCTAGGGATGGACACAATCAGACTTGCTTCGGATGCTGGATCTGACCTATATTTTCCATACAAGAGACCAGGTTAAAGTTTTGGAAACAGATCAATTCAAATGAACTTGAAGTCCTTGATATCTGCAGTATTAACAGTTATGAATATTTGTTTACACTATACATGATTTTCATACTACACGTGTAGAAATGTGTATATGCCATGTAAGGGGTTAAACACAACTTGCAAGAATATTGTTGTTTGGATGAATACTAAATATTATAAGAAAATATGATGTGAGATTTGCATAACTGAAACTGATAACATTCGTCGAGGTGAGCTTCGTAATCTTTGATTACCTATGTTTATATTCAGTAAGTTGTGCGTTTTATATCCTGAGCATTTCCATGCAACCACAAACCCATTGGAGATTCTTTTTCTTATTTTTTACATTGATTATAAAAAAAAAAATTATTTAATCCTTTTAAATTTTTTATTTGACTTTATTACTTTATTTAGAACCCATTGTGACATCAGATTTGTTGATGTATAATATGTTTTATATCCCTATCTGTTGAAGCTACATTTTTTCCCTAATAAATAATTGTTGTTTATAATAAAACTCTTTTAATACCAACACAGATATTCATGGATATAGTGAAGTTATCTTGAATCCCCAGAAGGCCCAGATTTATAAAGTTAACAAATTCCCTATATGGATATAACAAATTATGGATATAGCGAAGTAATTTCATAGGGTCCCAGTGACTTTGTATAATTGAGTTTTACTGTAATTTCATTATTTCACATTCAGGATCCTTCATGATAATTGCCTGGGTGATGTTCTCAAGCATTGGAATTGTCACAGCCAGGTTCTTTAAGAATGGATGGGAAGGAACTACTTTAATGGGACAAAAAGTCTGGTTCCAGGTAAGGAAAGCATGTATTTCAGTTTCAAAGTTAATGATTTCATGATGTCAGATATAAAATGAAGAAAAAAAATCTATCCACTCTTATACACCTCTTTGAAAAGAGGGGGGGGGGGTTATACTGTTTTACCCTTGTGTATATTTCTGTATGTCCACCTGTCTGCCTGTTACATATTTTGGTCGCAGTTTTCTAAGCAACTACTCATTGCAGATGCTTGAAATTTAAGCACAATTGTTGTTTAAGCATGCCATATAGTGGGATTTATTTTTATACACATCCGATGTCAACTTCCAGCCAGTCCATGCACATCTCTCCACACTATATGTAATAATTTCTCAGCAGCCACTTATTGCAGATGCTTGAAAAGAGCAAGGTTCACTCAGGGCATATTTTTTTTTACATGCTTGTACATTAAAATTGTTACATCACTTAACCTCTATTAGAATTGTAAATGAATCTATGTGTTTTATATTATTTCCAGATTCATCGGACATGTATGGTTTTAGTCTTTACTTTCACTGTGTCAGCCTTTGTTGTGATATTTGTGGATGTTGGGGGATATAGAGAGGTTTGTATCATTTAATACCCCCCCCCCCACACACACGCTTTAAAATAATTCAAAAATAAGCCAATGAAGCCAGCATTGACTTCAAAATTCTATTAATAATTGAATGGGTCAAAACATTTCAAAATGGGGAATATTTACATTGTAACTTTTTTTTATTTACAGGTTGTGGTAGAGGAATCAAAAGGTTATCTGAGATACCACCCAATACTGGGCATCATTGTCACTTCACTAACTGTTATAAATGTAAGGTACCACCCAATACTGGGCATTATTGTCACTTCACTAACTGTTATCAATGTAAATATATTGCAATACAATGACAAAAAATATCGTATCCAATACGATTTTGTAATATCGATATATTGGCATCTATTGGAAATCACTTCACTAACTGTTATAAATGTAAGGTTGTTTTGTGGGACCACTTAAATGAAATCCAATACTGGGCATCATTGTCACATTCACTAACTGTTATAAATGTAAGGTATAAATGTAAGGTACTCAATACTGGGCATTATTGTCACTTCACTAACTGTTGTCAATGTAAGGTACCACCCAATACTGGGCATCATTGTCACTTCACTAAATGTTATCAATGTAAGGTACCACCCTATACTGGGCATCATTGTCACTTCACTAACTGTTATCAATGTAAGGTACCACCCAATACTGGGCATCATTGTCACTTCACTAACTGTTATAAATGTAAGGTACCACCCGATACTGGGCATCATTGTCACTTCACTAACTGTTATAAATGTAAGGTACAGCCCAATACTGGGCAACATTGTCACTTCACTAACTGTTATAAATGTAAGGTACCACTCAATACTGGGCATTATTGTCACTTCACTAACTGTTATAAATGTAAGGTACAGCCCAATACTGGGCATCATTGTCACTTCACTAACTGTTATAAATGTAAGGTACCACCCAATACTGGGCATCATTGTCACTTCACTAACTGTTATAAATGTAAGGTACAGCCAAATACTGGGCATCATTGTCACTTCACTAACTGTTATAAATGTAAGGTACCACCCTATACTGGGCATCATTGTCACTTCACTAACTGTTATAATGTAAGGTACCACCCTATACTGGGCATTATTGTCACTTCACTAACTGTTATCAATGTAAGGTAGCACCCGATACTGGGCATCATTGTCACTTCACTAACTGTTATAAATGTAAGGTACCACCCAATACTGGGCATCATTGTCACTTCACTAACTGTTATAAATGTAAGGTACCACTCAATACTGGGCATTATTGTCACTTCACTAACTGTTATCAATGTAAGGTACCACCCAATACTGGGCATCATTGTCACTTCACTAACTGTTATCAATGTAAGGTACCACCCAATACTGGGCATCATTGTCACTTCACTAACTGTTATCAATGTAAGGTACCACCCAATACTGGGCATCATTGTCACTTCACTAACTGTTATAAATGTAAGGTACCACCCAATACTGGGCATCATTGTCACTTCACTAACTGTTATAAATGTAAGGTACCACCCAATACTGGGCATCATTGTCACTTCACTAACTGTTATAAATGTAAGGTACCACCCAATACTGGGCATTATTGTCACTTCACTAACTGTTATAAATGTAAGGTACCACCCAATACTGGGCATTATTGTCACTTCACTAACTGTTATCAATGTAAGGTACCACCCAATACTGGGCATCATTGTCACTTCACTAACTGTTATAAATGTAAGGTACCACCCAATACTGGGCATCATTGTCACTTCACTAACTGTTATAAATGTAAGGTACAGCCCAATACTGGGCATCATTGTCACTTCACTAACTGTTATAAATGTAAGGTACCACCCAATACTGGGCATTATTGTCACTTCACTAACTGTTATAAATGTAAGGTACCACCCAATACTGGGCATCATTGTCACTTCACTAACTGTTATCAATGTAAGGTACCACTCAATACTGGGCATCATTGTCACTTCACCAACTGTTATCAATGTAAGGTACCACCCAATACTGGGCATCATTGTCACTTCACTAACTGTTATAAATGTAAGGTACCACCCAATACTGGGCATCATTGTCACTTCACTAACTGTTATAAATGTAAGGTACCACCCAATACTGGGCATCATTGTCACTTCACTAACTGTTATAAATGTAAGGTACCACCCAATACTGGGCATCATTGTCACTTCACTAACTGTTATCAATGTAAGGTACCACCCAATACTGGGCATCATTGTCACTTCACCAACTGTAATCAATGTAAGGCACCACCCAATACTGGGCATCATTGTCACTTCACCAACTATTATATATGTAAGGCACCACCCAATACTGGGCATTATTGTCATTTCACTAACTGTTATAAATGTAAGGTATCACCCAATACTGGGCATTATTGTCACTTCACTAACTGTTATAATGTAAGGTACCACCCTATACTGGGCATTATTGTCACTTCACTAACTGTTATAAATGTAAGGTACCACCCAATACTGGGCATCATTGTCACTTCACTAACTGTTATAAATGTAAGGTACCACCCAATACTGGGCATTATTGTCACTTCACTAACTGTTATAAATGTAAGGTACCACCCAATACTGGGCATTATTGTCACTTCACTAACTGTTATAAATGTAAGGTACCACCCAATACTGGGCATCATTGTCACTTCACTAACTGTTATAAATGTAAGGTACCACCCAATACTGGGCATCATTGTCACTTCACTAACTGTTATCAATGTAAGGTACCACCCAATACTGGGCATTATTGTCACTTCACTAACTGTTATAAATGTAAGGTACCACCTTATACTGGGCATTATTGTCACTTCACTAACTGTTATAAATGTAAGGTACCACCCAATACTGGGCATCATTGTCACTTCACTAACTGTTATAAATGTAAATACTGGGCATTATTGTCACTTCACTAACTGTTATCAATGTAAGGTACCACCCAATACTGGGCATTATTGTCACTTCACTAACTGTTATAAATGTAAGGTACCACCCAATACTGGGCATTATTGTCACTTCACTAACTGTTATAAATGTAAGGTACCACCCAATACTGGGCATCATTGTCACTTCACTAACTGTTATAAATGTAAGGTACCACTCAATACTGGGCATTATTGTCACTTCACTAACTGTTATCAATGTAAGGTACCACCTTATACTGGGCATCATTGTCACATCACTAACTGTTATAAATGTAAGGTACCACCTTATACTGGGCAACATTGTCACATCACTAACTGTTATAATGTAAGGTACCACCCTATACTGGGCATCATTGTCACTTCACTAACTGTTATAAATGTAAGGTACCACCCTATACTGGGCATCATTGTCACTTCACTAACTGTTATAAATGTAAGGTACCACCCAATACTGGGCATTATTGTCACTTCACTAACTGTTATCAATGTAAGGTACCACCCAATACTGGGCATCATTGTCACTTCACTAACTGTTATAAATGTAAGGTACCACCCAATACTGGGCATCATTGTCACTTCACTAACTGTTATAAATGTAAGGTACCACCCAATACTGGGCATTATTGTCACTTCACTAACTGTTATAAATGTAAGGTACCACCCAATACTGGGCATTATTGTCACTTCACTAACTGTTATAAATGTAAGGTACCACCCAATACTGGGCATCATTGTCACTTCACCAACTGTTATAAATGTAAGGTACCACCCAATACTGGGCATTATTGTCACTTCACTAACTGTTATCAATGTAAGGTACCACCCTATACTGGGCATCATTGTCACTTCACTAACTGTTATAAATGTAAGGTACCACCCAATACTGGGCATCATTGTCACTTCACTAACTGTTATCAATGTAAGGTACCACCCTATACTGGGCATCATTGTCACTTCACTAACTGTTATAAATGTAAGGTACCACCCTATACTGGGCATCATTGTCACTTCACTAACTGTTATAAATGTAAGGTACCACCCAATACTGGGCATTATTGTCACTTCACTAACTGTTATCAATGTAAGGTACCACCCAATACTGGGCATCATTGTCACTTCACTAACTGTTATAAATGTAAGGTACCACCCTATACTGGGCATCCTTGTCTCTTCACTAACTATTATCAGTGTAAGGTGTTATAGTAAGGTACCACCCAATACTGGGCATCATTGTCACTTCACTAACTGTTATAAATGTAAGTTACCACCTAATACTGGGCAACATTGTCACTTCACTAACTGTTATAAATGTAAGTTACCACCTAATACTGGGCAACATTGTCACTTCACTAACTGTTATAAATGTAAGGTACCACCTTATACTGGGCATCATTTTCACCACACACTGTTACAAATGTTAGGTACCACCCTATACTGGGCATCATTGTCACCACTCTGTTATCAATGTTGGATACCACCTTTTCTTGCCATCAATGTCACCATGCTAAGAGTTATCAATATACAAGAAGATATTACAACAAAGAAGCGCAAAGAAACAAAATCTCCAACTGTTTTTGAAACGAGTACTAGTAATTGGGAATATGGTATTTATTTCAGCCAATAATGTCGCTGTTCAGATGTGCACCCACGGATAGGAGGCGACCGATATTTTACATAGCCCACTTTACAGTTGGTACTGTTGCACATATTTTAGCTGGTGAGCAATAATTTAAATAAATTTTACAAATTCACGTTCAATATTAGTACAAATAAAAATTTCATTTACACCACACCTAATTAGAGACATATAATAATCAACTTTTAATCATAATTTCAGCAATCACAGTTTTATTTGGAATGAATATAGACAGGGCCAGTCTCCCAGCGGAGGCTTCATACATCATGTACGCTTATATAGCAGTCTTTGTTATCATAGAGATATCACTGGAGCTGCTAAAACTCTGTCAGACACAATCTGATGATGCTAGTAAGTGAGGGCTACCTTCAAAATAGTGAATCTTGATTATATATATTTGTTGTGTAGACAAGAACAAAGACTGAATCTTGCTTCTAACAGTAACTAAATAAAAATATTTTGAAGTTAGATTTATTGAGTCAAGTGAAGAATAGTAAATAACTGATCAGTAAAAGACCAAAATGGAATTCTAATATTGGATAATGAGATACAGTGTATGTCTGAAAAATCCAAATAATGAATGCATTGTATATCTTGACAATTGCTACTAAAATCATTTAAAGTAATTTTATTTCAACATGAAGCTTCCATTTATTACAGTTTATTAATTTCTTAAATCTAGGTAGCCATGTTGCCATAGAAATGAAATACATTGCTGACAAAGATGAAAAAAGCATCAAATTTGAAGAAAATCCAGTAAGTAAAAACATTACAAACAAAGAGGTTTCATAGATATGTTAACTTGCGTAAGGCTTAAGAAAATATGAGTGCTTTATTTAACTTAATATATATTGACCCACAGTTCACCAGCTGCCCCTACTCTTGATTCCAAGTCCATATATTGAACTATACTTTTGTTCTATAGTACAGGTTTTATATAGTTCAATCAATGAAATGTGAGTCTTAGACACTGAAGATTCATCTTTGAAGTGTTTCAAAGAGTACACTTGGTTATGCATAAATTATCCCACCTTTCCAACTATCGTTGATGTCCATGTCATACTCTACTAGACAGTACATGATTTCTTATATTTCCATTTCACTGTGAAATGATAAAGATGTAGTCTAATTAATTAGTATAATTAGTATACATTACATGAAGCCTCCCATGTCAATTTCAAAAGTCACTGCCCACTTATGTCAAACACAAAGACAGCTGCTTGAGATTTACAAGCAAATTAGGCCTCCTTAGATCCTGACCTATGGCTTTGCAAAATTTCCCTTCTGGTAGAATTATCAAGAAATCAACTAAACTACCCTTTAAAGAGTTATCACAGAAGAAATAAATGGAATTGGAAATATTACAAAATAAGATATGTTCAAGTCAAGTAAAAAAAATATGTACTTCATGTGTATTTCATTTCCAAATGGTTATTAATACATGTATAAGAAAGTTTTTTTTAAATATAAATCTATACAATTGGGAAAAAAAATGAAGGGCAAAAAATATCTTTAGTTTTTTTTTTGGCCAAAATTATAAAATCTTGACACAATTTTTTGGTGAAGCTGATTTCTTTTTCCCCCCTCTCTCTTGGCAAAATATCAACAACCTCTAACTTTTTCTGCACTTAAATATCATTATATGAGATGTTATCTGTATTCAACTTATTCAACTTAAACTTATGTTTTTCCAAACATTTTATTAATTTTTTTAACGTTAAAAAACTTCAGACTCCTGTTCACACTCTAAATTTAATTTTGTGGACTTTTTTCTTATTAAAAGTTTCACTTTTTGAAACTATTCATTGCTTAGTTCAAGAAGTATTTTATTCATAATAATAGAAAACGTATACAGTATGAATATATGGATTGAATAGCGGGCAAATATCAGGCCTATATTACTTCTCTCCAAACTATGAGTTACTTAAAAGATGTGGCATTATATCAATATTATAAAAGATATTAACGATATTTTTTTTTGTTACAGGTGATACGAAAGGAAATATTTCTGTATTTTCACATTTTCCTTATGGTTGGATTTTGTTCTTCCTTGGTTGTACTTTTGATAATGTCCTAGAGACTTCACATAAAATATATTATATAAGATTATTTTTGTAGTTTTCTTTGGCTGAAAGTATGTCATGTGATATTCCTCCTTTTGTGATATCGATGCGAAAGTGCGTCCGCAGAAAATAATATCGCACGACACGCCGTTCGGTGACACTAAAGTTACGTAGTACGTTTGCAAATTTAAGAAACATGAATTTAACCATTTGACATAATGACAGCCAAGTTGTTTTAGGACTGTAAGTGGATTCACTTTGAGTGATTACATAATATAACTATTATGGACTTCAGTTTCAATATGTGGTTAAAGGACTACAATTGATATTGACCTATTCACTTTGAGTGATTATATAATTAAAATTTTGGACTTTTTTAACAGGTGAAAATTTGGTTTTAACCTACTATTAAAAAAGTTATATTTTCATTTTTTTAACGACCTATGCTCGTTTGCTATCACTTTCTGTTTCTTCGGTCAATATCAGTTAAATGCCATAGTTTTACAATTTTACCACATATTTTTATATTTTCACATTTTACTTATGTTCTCGACCTACACTGAAATCCAAAATTGTATAATATACATGTATGTATATTAACCGAAAAGCAATACGGTGCTCTGACAATGAAGTGACAGAGCTAACGATATCGGGTAACATGTAAGGAAATGGTCCATATATTGTATTTCTAGTCAATACTAGTTGAACTTTATACATTTCTCATTTCTTCCCATTTTTTCCTCTTTTAAGCAAATATTTATACTTTTACTACGTTGTTAATTTTATGTTTATAATTATATTTTTTTTGGAGGAAATACTAATGTTGCAATTTTGTATTTATGTATGTTTTTTCCTCTATTCCTTAATTTTTTTTTTTCAAACAACCTATATATGTACATTGGTTATTTTAATAGTTCAAGAATACAGAAACTTGTGTTTTACTGTTGGAAGAACAGCTATTTTAGTGAACAGATGATAAATATTGTATTCAAATTAAAGTATGACAAAAGTATACAAAAAATACGAATTTACATGTATATAGTCTATGTAAAATGTAAGATGATTTTTAAAAATAAATTTGTGTTAAATTTCTTATTAAAGGTTTGTTGAACCCTGTTTTTATTTTTTGATTAATGAATAATTCTTAAATGATTGGTTTGGAATAAAAACCATTGAAAATCAACAAAAATTCCTTTGTAGATCTTAACAAAGTACAAGATTTGTTTTTTTTTTAAATTTTGTTATTATTCAAAAAAATATTTGTTTTTAAAATTTTGTTTAATACATGAATTAGTTTAAGACATTTTAATTTGAATTAGTTTATCATATATTTATGGTGCATCAGAGAGAGAGAGAGAAAAAAAAGTGTTTGGGATTAGACATACACATATCAGTGGCATTCAAATTATTAAACTACTGTTACAAACTCAAGTGAAAATTTAAATTATAACACTTATGTATTTAAATTTAAATTATAACACTTATGTATTTTGATAATTTGTTTTTCAATGGATTAAATCCTCTGATTGAGAATGACTTTTTATGTAAAATTAATCCTTTAAAATCAGTTCTGAACACGAAAAAAATCATGGCAATATGAATATCAAAATGTAACAAAATTAGCTTTTGTGCTTCATTAATCTGTGTTCAATAGACAGATTACAGAGATAACTAAAATCCGAGAAAATCTCCTTAAATGTAATTTGTTACTCTTTTTAAAATAATTGATTCGGAAAATACGATTCCACTTTCCTAATTTAACGCTTCTTATGTGTTATATATTCCAGATGCCTAAAAATTATTCCATATTATGTCATGAACTTCAGAAGGTATAAATATTACTTTTCAATAAGTAATCGATCAATCGGCGAAATAGATTTGTGGATAAAATATTATAAAACCTTCTAGATTTTATCTTTTTTATATTTTTTTTAACAATAACAATTCACACTTCAAGAAAAAGAGAAACATGATGGCATGTACAGATACGTATTTTTATTTTGCCATCTTGTTGGCTATCCTTGGCCGATGTGATGGTCGGCCTGATGGCGTTAAAGGATGTGGTACTTTGGAGGCTAGTTTTGTCCCTATTCATGGTAACTCAAGTCAGAATAATAGCCTCCCTATTTATATAAGAGCTGACAGAAACCATTCTGATTGGTCAGGTAAGTTACAGCTAAAAAGCATAATGATACATGGTACAGGTAAAAAATGTTTGCAGCCCTAATATTACTAAAATTGAAATCATAATGTGCTTTCTGTAAATCGAAAAACTCTGTTTTTATATTTCAAAACTTTTGTCCGTATTACAAAAAATGATACTTGTTTACGTATATTGATTTTATATATATATATATATATATATATATATATATATATATATATATATATATATATATATATATATATATATATATATATATATAAAGGGAATTTTTACAACAACTCTTAAACTTAACTGCCAAGTAAGAAATATATATATAACTCCCACTTCCGAGCCTGAAATGGGTATCATATGAATTTTAATTTGTACTTTCTTTAAGTCGTTAAAAATATTAAGCAAGTTTTTTTTAACCATAAGATTTTATACTTCAAATTTTTGTCAGTAAGCAATTTCAAAAAATGATTTATTAATTGTTTATCGTAAAAGTGAATTTCTTTGCTTTCTATATATATATATTTTAACTTTGCAGTGTTTATATGGACAAAAGAAACATTCTTTAAGGGCTTCTACCTTCGGGTGTTCTCGGTCGTTGACGGGGAGACTGTGTCGGGAAACTTTCACGAGATGCCACCAGGAACTCGGGCTTGTTCCTCAATTGTGCGTTTACTATGCCTAAATTCATTGTCTATTTCATAAGAAAATTCAACTTTTAAGTTGTCTATTGATTTAGCTGATTTGTTGCTATTGGATATTTCCACATCTTATTCAATATTATCTGGATTAAAGAATATTAATATATTTAAATTATATTCACACTGCGAATAATGAAAAACCCTCTTAAACAATATTCTTTAATCTTCAAAAAAGGATGCTTGTCACACTACCAGCACGATGAATCATACATATTTGGCATTTATGTGGAAACCCCATTCAAGCTTTCACGGAAATGTATACTTTAAGTAAGTTGATTTTTTATTTTAAAAAAAATGAAAGGCTTTTAGTTATTTTTTCCCTATAAATTATTACTGATTTCACTTCTGAAACTAATATCAAGCTGAACTTTACTTTCTAATGCAAAAAAAGTGACACACTGACAGTTAAAATATGAAATAATGACCAAATTTGAAGTTAGTTGTGCATTGAGAAGCCAAGCATCCACATTAAAGGCACCAATATCGGATTAGATATGATTGTTAATTTCTAATTTCAATATTAAAGCGAATATACCACCTAAAAACTCCACTTTGATATATTTTTCCCCCCAGAGCATCAGTTGTCGTAAGCTACACACAAGGCTACAAAATAATGACGACTCTAAAGGGAGGTAATTCTACAACAGTCACAGAGGTATTTATTTTTCCATTTTCAGTATTTTTTTTACAATGTATGGAATTAGACGTGTGATATTTCAATATATTATACGTTCATGTAAATTAGTTGAATCTGATTGGTCAAGAAACATTTGCTAAAAAACACTATTACCCGCTGAATAATGAAGCCACGCCCTCCTGCGTAGCAACAGTCAACATTGCTTGACGACGGGTGGTATATCAAAAAATAGCGATTTTTCATGCGCGCATTTTTTGTTATATGTATTTGTATAAAACATTCAGTATAATATATTAAATATATTGCATGTTGTTGAGTGTAACATTGAAAATTTTTACCCCTCGAAAACCATTGTCAACCTCGGCTGCGCCTCGGTTGACAATGGTTTTCTTGGGGTGAAAATTTTCAATGTTACACTCAACTACATGCAATATTTATATACTATTAAATTGTAGAAGGATCAGGGTACCACAATATTAGAACGATTTAAAGAGTGTGGTTCATCCATTGGATGTCTATCAAAATGTAATTCTGGATCGTGTTCACATTTAGTCACGTGGAAAAAACGCGGGGATTTTGTTCGATTTGAATTTATGGCAGATACGGAAGAACTCAACAAAGATTTATACCTTTCAATAGGATTTTCAAACGATGAATGGATGGTGAGATTGTTATTCTTAATTATCTAACAGGTCTCTCTCTTAAAACAAAAAAAAAAAAAAAACGGTTTACCTGCAATCTTGATTCTTGTTTGTACTTTGGCGTATAGTATAAAAAGTAAACCATCGCCGATACTTTAAAATTTGAACATTTCTTTCCACGTCTACTTACAGGGTGATGATTATGTAATGGCTTGCAAAGTCCACCAGGGAGATGTGACTTTTGAATTAGGGACTAATGTACCCAGCAAAAAAGTGTACAATCCCAACATTGACGTACATGTACATAAGACCTTTCTTGATCTTACTTTCTTTGAATAGCTTTCATGAAATATATATTTCTCTGAGTTTAACTTTAATAAAATGTAAAATGTACCATTATTGATGTTGAAAAAATAACCTTATCCTATATATGAGATGTCATGAATTTTTTTTTTTAAACTTCTATGGAGAGACAAATCAACGTTTCATTTTCAATGAAGGTAAATTCAGATGATGTTATTGTGTTGGAAACATCACTGATTGGAAGCATGTTCAAATGTGCTGTGGAGCAGAGGATACTCAGTAAACACCCGAAGCTCTCTAGACTGGACCGGAAATGGTACCTTTTACATGCAATTGGTTTGGTCACAGGTATGTGTAAAATTGCAATAATGTGTACAAATTTATACCTCGGTTGTTATAATTACTTTGCACAACTTCTTATTCTGTGAATGCAAAATTTTTTTTTTTTTTTTTTTTTTTAAAGAAAATGGTCTCCATTATCATAGCGAAAGGAGTGTAAGTTCCGAAATGGTGGACTTTCTGAGTACTTCAGTTGTAGCTGAAGAAAATCCTTCTAGAGTCCTTCTCAAATTGCATGGTAATATTCATGGCAGAAGCACACATTTTATACTAATCGTAATATTAAAACAAAAAGATCTAAGTATGTTTAAGAAATATCATTGTGTCTCGATAGAAAAAAATCTCTGTAAACATTTCTTCTTTCACAATTAAATGAGTAGCGAATATTTTCAGATATGTACAGCTATAAATACAGTAGAAATTTTATTTTTTTGCAAAGATACAAATATATTTTAATTAATTTTTTTGTCGTTGTCTTCACAGGATCTTTAATGATGCTTGCCTGGTTGTTTTTCGCACCTGTTGGAATAATTTCTTCCAGGTTATTCAGACAAAGTTGGGGTGAATGGACCATCTGTGGTCAGAAAGTATGGTTCCAGGTTGGTACGGCAGAACTAAGTATTATAGGGAATAAAAAGTTTAACTGTAAACTTTCTTAGTAAAGAATTTAAAAAATTCAAGAGAGAGAGAGAGAGAGAGAGAGAGAGAGAGAGAGAGAGAATCAATCGTATAAGCTATACAAATTGTAAACTCCGGATTCACCGGAAGTAGAATCTGGAACCTAGGAAGAGCAAGCAACCGAATGTTGACCGATCATTCTTTCTGTAAGATCTGTTTGTTTGATCAACTATATAAACGGAAAAATCTGTAAACAAATGGATTGAAAAAAAGATGGACTTACAATTGATTTGAAACATTATTATAGTCAAAATGCGACCAACGAATATGTTATATGTTTTCAAACAAAGTCATTTTAACAACCTTAGAATTTTCGAAATGCTGACTTGAAAGGTGTTAAATCTATGTAACATAAACATATTTATCTTCCATTTGTTAAAATGATCAATTATACTCGGAGCAAAGTCTCGCGTACCAAGTAACTTGCTTAGAGATTTGTGCACCACAAACGTCGGTGAAATTGTAGTGTAAATTAACTGTTTACAAATATCCGAAAGAGATGTAGACTATTAAAAAAAACTGAAGTCATAAAGTTTAGTTGTTCATAAGTCATTATCGTCTATACGAAAGTCAGTAAAACATCCAAATATGACTAATACTCTTATTTCTCTTTTATTTCGAGTTCACTTACACATATAAACTCGACAAATAAACGAAATTATCTATTGTAAATTGATGAATTTGAATTGTAAATTAGGTTGCTAATAAAAATGTTCAATTTTAAAACAAATTTTTATACGAGAAAAAGAACAGTGTTTGACCTCAAATATTAGAATGGTTTTCTTTCAGATTCACCGTTCATGCATGTTGCTTGTGTTTATTTTCACAATCACTGCTATTGTTGTCATATTTGCCGATGTCAAAGGATTTAGCTATGTAAGCATAATATATTCAAAAGTCTTCTGTTGGTAAAACCCAAACAAAAACCAGTTGGTGATGTAAAATTAAACTTTATTATAAGGTTAATTAACCCTCTGATTAAGGAGATAACTTTCACTGAAATAGAATCATTTTTATATAAGCAAAATTTACCAGTATATAAGTACACTTACCGAAAATGAACTCTTCCATTTTTTTGTTGTTCTCTTTTTCAGATCGATATAAGTGTTGACTATCGAAACATTCATCCTATACTGGGGATTGCAGCAACTCTCTTGTGCATTTTGAACGTAAACAATCTCTCTCTCTCTCTCTTTATCTACTTCAAATATAATATTTGATTCAACATAATATTTAGACTTTCTCTTTTTCGTAAATTATCAGTTTCATTCTTTAATGCTTACAACTGTTTTTTTTTAAATTTCATATTACAATGCTCATTTTTACATAGCTACTGATATCCATATTCCGATGTCCTCCAGATGATAGCAAGAGGGAAATTTTTAACAGAATTCATGGATTGTTTGGTCTCACCTCTTACTTATTGGCAGGTATATATTACATGTATACATTGTATACAAAACGAAAAAATACAAGTACCAATAATATGTTATATAAATTTACATTGTCTTCAACTTCATTAATTGACGACGGATTTTCCCGTTATTTCTCGATCATGACAAAGAGCAAACGGCGGTTGTCACCGGTCGGCAGAGGATGCTCACTCCTCCGTGGCACCTGATCTCTGATGTTTTAGAGGCCCATGTCTGCTCTGCTCCAGTTTTGTATTGTTTGAGCTGGAATACTGTTCGTTATCTCCATATATTTCATTCTGTGTATATCTGTTTGTAGTCCTCAACATCGTGGTCGGAGCAAAGTTAGATAGAAGTATGTTTCCCTCAGAAGGAAATTATATGATATATGGCTGTCTGGCCATGCTATCTATACTGGAACTTGTTTATCAGCTTAAAAGGTTGCGACAGGATTTTGGCAATGGTACGTTGTGTCCTTTAATTTAAACTGAAAGAAAAAAAAAGTTATAAGAAATTCTTATTGTTCCATTTAAAAATATATACAGGAATGCTGTATTTTTTCGAAATCTACATATATAAAGTGTATCTGAAATAGTATACAATATACCAGGATGAAGCTTTAAGAAAAAAAATAATGGTTGTAAATCTCATTCTAAATATATTTTATTTAGACAGCTCGCCTAATTCTAAAAAGACAGAAAACAACAATACAAAGAAGGTTTGTACTGAAATCAGTTTATTTCAAGAGGTTGACACTGAAGATTAAAAATGTGTCTAAAACATTGTTTAAATACCTTTAAAATTGTTCAATTATATACTACTGTGCAGATAATTTTTTAAAACTATATTTATTCTGAGATAAAGACAGAGAGGTTTGTTGAAAGTAAAGAGAAATGAAATGGACCCTATATGAAATTATTTAGGAATAATTTTACTTTTACAGGTGCATGTCATGGAGACAGGTTTTTATACACTTGTAACCCTCACAATGGCTTCTTCTGTGTCTTTTGTTATATATTTGCTGTTGACGTCTTAACAATTAAAAGAACATGGAGGCATCAAAGCTATTCGATTCGATGTTGGTCAGATTGAAAAAATACTTTAACTTAATATTGATGCTGTTACTGTTATATCTAGTAAATTACATCTGTTGAATATTACTTCCTTTATTTTTTATTAAAACTAATTCTTTTAATATATAGACAAGCCATCTTGAGCAGTTTCTATTCAGTGAGACATACTGTAACACACGATATTAATATTACAATATTTAAGATACTGAATCGTTATTTATATGATATGATATGATATATCCATACAGATATAAATAAAAAAAAAATCTTTCTTTGAGCACGGTAATTATCGTTGCAGCATTATTGCATTAAATTGAAAAAAAAAAACTTTATGTATCCTCATGCTGCACAATCTCACCGCAGCTGTTTTTGCTGAGTTATGAGCAAATGAAATCAACACAAAATAAGAAAAATATATACATACATATATATCACCATACTGATCCCCTAAATTTATATATAAACAGTAAGTATGGGAATTATTAGTTCCCTTATTACAGCCAAAGAAAGTATTTTATATGAGAGAACATGACTGCATGAAATATGTACAAACAGTATTCAAGCTCGAAGGTTGGCCCTTTCAAACATTAAAATCAAAAGCAGACCAAACACGGACCTCTAAAATATTGCTTTGCGTTTCACAGAATATCGCATTAAGTTTTATTACTTATGGATACTTAATGACCAGTTGCAGCGTACTATTTAAGTATCAAATACATTCTCAACAATGATTAAAAAAATCTATTTTCAACCACTAAGCAATCTACAGAGACAATATGGAAATCCCCATAGAGAAACTTAAAGTCATATATGGCGTAACTAATCAAAAAAATATATTTTTGAAAACTACAAAATTAAGTAAAGAAATATAGTTAATACATATAAATTAAAGCTTTTCATACAATTCTTTTCATACAAGAACTCCTCGTTTCATCTAATAATACGATTTTATCTTCTCTGTAATGTGTTATTTAAATCTTTTGTATTTTCTTCAATCAAAAATTTACAAATAAAATTAAATTGTGATATCTTTATAACGCAATTGACTTAGATTTTGTAATTTACGGAAAAGTTCTATCTTTATATAAAGTAATAATACAAATAATAATAACTTATAATTTTAGTCTAATAATTTTCATTGTACATACGCCATATATGCCTTTAAATTATTTTTTCTTTCCTTTTTAAGTGCATGTAGATGCATATTGTATAGTTTATAAAGGCCTCAAATAACAATTATTAACATAAACAAGCAAAGGGTATTAAAATTCCAAATAATTGCTTACTTATAGACTTAAAATATCATAATTATAATCATATTTGCTTCCTTCAGAATTACGTTTTAAAACCAAAGGCAGTCTTTTTAGAAATATTACTTCGAAACTCGAAAGTTTTCTTTAAGCTGGTTCTCTTTGAAAATTATATTTTCTGTTAAAGTTACATATAAATAAACCAAATATTGACAAGTGATTATTCAATCAGGTATTTTTCATACGGTATTTTATTTAATAAAAAAAACCCACACACACAAAAACAGTCACCATTTCTTTCAGGTACCGGTACATAATTCTAATTTTGAAAACTCAAAACTATTTTCCTCCAATTATTTTCAAAAAGGTTACGGATATATGTAAAATATTTTCATTGGTTTCAACATCGAAACAATGTTTATAAGAAGGTTAGATTTTTATACTTTCAGTTTAATTATTTGTTTCCTAAGGCAATTAAAAAATGATTTTTTAAAAAAATTGATATCTGGTTTTAAGAGCTAGACTTGTTTTGTATAAATATAAAACATTTATGTTTTGATGTTAAGCGTTTTCCACATCTTTTATTGAAAAGAATACAGTTCAGAGTTAGGCATTATGGAAACTTTGTTCTTTGTTTTACAATGGAATTTTTTTATCATTTACAAATTCCTGTTTTCAACGCAATTTTTTTAAGCGGGGGAGGGAGGGGAGGGGTGCTTAAACGGATGTACCTCATTGAGCTTAATAATTATTTTATAAATAAACTCTGGACTAGAAAATGGACAATGCCAAGGAATTTAAATATCTTCTTACAGCTGAAAACATTAAAGAGCGGTGAATGGATTTGTGTACGAGATTTCCTTTTTTGGTGAACAAAGGAATCCCTCGTGATACTCGTAAAATACCAATCAAGCAGTTTGTTAGGAGTCATTTGGTTTGGAAGGATGAATGAGGCTTGCAATTTAGGCATTGTTGCCCCCTTCCCCCCTTTTGGTGAAAAAAAAAATATTTTGAAATGCATTTTCGACTGTCAAGCTTTTAGGAAATACATGTACATGGAAATACATATATGTATATATCTCTAAATACATATAAAAGTTATATAATTATCACAGTGTCCGGCAATATATTTGTTTTAAAAGAGTAAAAACGAAAACACAAGTTGTAAAACGTTAGCGCTTTTGTTTTAAGTTCTCTAGACGCGTTTTACTTTAAACTTTTGGCGTTAAAACAATTGTGACAACCAATTTTGCAAATTTTAATATGATATCTTTTCAGCAAAACTCATCGAATTTTAATAATAAAAAAATTACAGGACACCTGAAGGTCTTTTTTTAAAGTCTAGGTTACCCCATGTGAGAGTTTCTCAAGAGTCTATTTTTGACTTTATTTTGTATACAAAGAAAAGTACCCGACGTCTAATTGTAATGAATGAAATAAAAATAGGTTAGTCATATGCATGCGATCTTACATCGAATGCTATCTATATCTTTATGAAAAGATGTCGTGCAGAAAGCTTAAGTTTACGATAATGTTCTACATTATGTTCTGTATTTAAATGTCATTAAAATCCATGATATGTATAGCAACCTATATATAGATAGAACGTGAAACAAAAATATCAGAACTTGAAGTTTTGATCTGTGAAAATGCGGGATGGAACTGCCTTCTTTCTTGCTTTAGTATCACTGTATTGCATTAAGGTAAGGGTTAGATATGTGAACCATTGGTTTTTATATTTTTTGAAATGAGTATGAATTCCAGTTTTCACCAGACTAGTGAGCTTCACATATAGGCGGTCATGTTATACTAGTATTTTTAAGTTACTATCTTTTCAATAGTTATTCAGTATATGTTGTGTTTAAGACCAGTATTCCTTTAAAATCAATATTTGAATCGTCTGCTCGATTCAAACATCTACGCATTAGTAAAAAAAAAACTACATTATAGAAATTTATACGAGTGTTAAAATCGTTTGTGTTATTTAGAAAATAGTTTTTTCCCCAATTGCTTAAAATCGTAAGACCAATGCAAAAATGTGCAGTTTTTAAAAAGTGTTTGCACGGCTCATAAAGAAATTTTAGTACTCTCTGAAGTTTTCGGGGTTTGAAACCTTTTTTACATATTGGAAAATTGTTTGCACAATTGTTTAATTTGTTTTTATGTTTAGAAAAGAAATATTTGTACAGTTTTTTAAAAATTGTTTTCACGGCTTTAAAATCGTGCAAAAAGTTCTCAAATTACAGTGTAATTGTAAAAGAAAAAAAATACCTAGCAAGACATGTAGATATTGATATCTAAGTAGTGGCTCATCCATCAATGAAAAAAAATTGGCGTAGATATCAATGAAAAACATTTAACGTATGAAAAATCATAAAACCCATTGAAGGTTATTTTTTTCTGCATCAGCTGCATCTTTAAACCTTATATTAATACGAAAGGATGCATGGAATTGTTTAACGAAAGTGGTAAAATGTAGTATGAAGTAAATTATTATATTGTTTTAGTTCAGATAAACATTGAAGACTACAACAGCTTTTAATTTGAAACAGTAATTATGCGTTCTAACTTGTATTCACCTTATACTTGATCATGGAATTTTGCTCTTTTCCCTTATTTTTACTTAAATTCTAATGAATTCTACACTAAAATTACACCCGAGATACAACGTTGTGCTTTACCGACATCAAAGGTCGTTGCCCTCTCATCTTATTCAGGTAGCACGTCAGTAAACTGAAGTTATTTGTCCTGTAAATATTTCTGAATTTACTTTTACTGAATTATCGATTGAAAGCAGTAGCCATGAAAAATTGAGATCTTTTAAAACTAATCGTCGCACGGTATATTCGGATTTTCAATTAAAAAAATCCGTATCCTTATGAAATAAAGATTGCATTTGGTTTGGAAAAGGTTTACCATGAATTAAATGGAGATAACGAACAGTGTTCAACCTCAAAAGTTCATTGAACAAAACAAAATACATGTAGGAGCAGAGCAAACACGGACCTCCAAAACACCCATGGGATTTACATTTTTTTTCTTTTTTTTTTTTTTTTTTACAATTCACCATATTGATAGAGCATTTCAGAGTAAAGCTTCCCGTACTCATAATGTAATAGCAGGTGCTCCTCTCTGTGGAACAGAATGTTCAACCAATAATCAAATACACACAGAACATTTATTTCCATTTTAAATAAAAATTAAAATAGACGCTGCGATTCACTATAATTTTTTTTTTGGCATTTGTTGAAAGGCAGGACTGTAAAAGTAGCGTAACATTGCAAAAATAGAAAATAGAAAAAAATGAGAGAAAATATAGAATTACCTGTACTTAAAATTTTCCTCCATTAGAATTTCTGAAATGGGCGACAACAGTGGCAGAAGTATAGACGGCATGTTATACTTTATTGTTTGTTTTCTTTTGGATATGTCGTTTTTTTTGTTTTTAACACTGTTCGTTTTAATTTGTTTTTATATGATTTTTATTCTTACAGTAGCTTTTATGTCTATGTAAAAAACAGAATTTTATTATTCTAAAAAGAAAAGAAAAGAAAAACAAATTTCTATGGTTTTAATGAAATGTGAATTTAGAATGCATTGTAAAATGAATGCTTTTTACTTAATATACATGTATTTGAATAAATACATATTCATGTTTCATTATTTATTATTTATTTTATCTTGAATGCCTAGTTCTTGTTTTAACATTTGCAGTGTGGGGTTGGTCACAGCACTGCCCTTGACTTATTTTAAATTAAAAAATCAATGATGGTACATTTTGATAAATACATATGGTGCAATGATCCTTGCATTTATTCTGCGAATGCTTTAAAATTATTCCTATCTCCATTTAATATGTTGTTGGTTTTATAAAATTAATACAAGGTAATCTTTTGTTGCTCTTAAAATTTTAATCAAGATTAAGATTGGTAATTGAATAATTCGCTGTTGACAATTTATATAAAAAAAATATATATATTGTAAGTTATCAGTATCTAGTACGGATATATAAAATATTGTTAGTAAAGTTGACCCACAAACTAGTGTTTAAAGCAGTATTTGATATTTTTCACGACTGTTTGAGACGCTAGATAATCATTTTGCAATAAAAATATCAAAACTGCAAGCTAGTTGAACTCCGAATGGAGTTCATTTTAAAGTAGACAGAGATCCCTGGTAATGTTACATTCAACAGACTATGCATGTAGGTGTCTTGAAAATAGCAATGTTTGAAGTAAATTTGTAAATATATTTAATTTACTTTAAGTATACATAAATATTTTAAGATGGTAGTTGTTAATAAAAATCAATCAAGTGGCAAGAAAAGTAAAATGACATCCACTATCAAAGAAGTCTTTCACTACGCACCTTTCAAGTTTGAAGGGTTGTTGTAAAAGTAATGTTACTGCTGCATTAATTTCTTTAAAAATCGAATGTTTTCAGCAAAAGTTTCAAACTAATGTTCCTATGCTTTTAAGTTTTTGTTTTAAAATCTCCTTTGCATAAAATGCTTTTTTTAAAATATGGAGATAATGATGGTGTTTTGCATATTGCCGCACGGTGAGAATTTTAATGAAATCGCTCTAACGTACTTTTCAATTCATCCACATTATTTTAACGTCTCATATTTATCTTTTTCAAAAAACTGTTTTTTGACTATAAAGCATATTGTTTTAAGTTGAAGTAAAATATTTTTAAACTCTCCAAATGTTATTTATAAATTCAGTCCTTGCACAAATCTTATTTATTGTCAGATTCATCGGTAAACGACGTTAAAGTTCACTGATCATCCACTCTGTTTGATTTCTAATGCATTTATTATTATACCTCATCCATGCGAGTCATTTGAAATGTTGGAAAGTTTGATTATCTGACTTTACGCCAGACATGACGTCCAAAAATGGAGGGGGAAATAATTATTATCGATATGTAAAAATGCATAAAATAACAAATGTTGGTTGAGATTTCAAGACAGCTGCTTGGAAGAATATTTGCATGGGGGATGAACTTTCACATTACCTTGACAGTAATTATTATATTGTGAAAAGTATTGCTTATAATAAATATGAAAAACAAACACTAATCAAGCTCAAAAACCCATTGAAACGATATAAATTTGGAGCAGAGAAAACCGAACCTCCAAAATTGGGTCCTCCTTGCCATGATGGGACAAAAAATGTAGACAATTTAATTAGTGTGTAAAAATCTAAATGAAAATCTAAAACAGTATTAAAAAATAGAGTATTCCATAACAAAAATGCTGTTAACTATTTTAAATTGTAGTTAGCTATAGTTAATTTCGGTTAACTAAAGTAAACACTTTGATACTTTGTAAATACTTTGACCTACTATGAAACTTAACTCGACAACATTTTAGAAGATTTAAGGCCTTCATGTTTATAAAAGTACATATAAAATCTGCAAATATACAATTACTTTTTCCTTTTGTTATTTGAAAGTTGCTGTAAAAAAAGAAAATTTAGCAATTCGAAAAGTATTGAAAAGATACCTGGTATTTTGATTTTCTATTTGCCAAAAAAAAAATTCTTGATTAAACTGTGATAAAAAAATTCGAAACTATAGTAAATTTTTATAAACTATAGTTTTATTCTGGTACAATTCTTTCTAGGAAGGGTTAAAAATCTGGTACATGTATATATCTTTAAGTTTAACAAATGTGTTTTAAATGATAAAATTGAGATAAACATGTAAATATCTGATCAACACATAAATGATCAAGTTAAAAACATTTAGTTTAAAAAAACTCCTCATCTGAACTATTTTTATCATCTGAAACAATAATGCTTTGTTGAATTGTTATGAAATATTTATGTTCAAATCAAACGTTTATTTACCCCAGAAATTCTTTGAATTAAATTTCTAATGGATTTGTTCATTTTATAAAATATAAAAATGAACCCTTCAAAAGAATGTAAATAAAAATATTCTCTGAAATTGTTGATTGGACAAATTCGAAACAAAAATTATTTCTTTTGACAAGCGAGATCATACTGTATCAACAGAATGATAGAGCTTACGGATTTACAGCTAAAGTGTGAAAAAAATTACTGAAATAATTAAAAAAAAGAAAAGAAACAACTAGCATTTAGGTGATATAAAGTAATCAGTCATGAAAAAAATTATACAATGAAAAGGATGAAATTTGGAATCCTCAATGTTTAAAAGTATTCATATGATATCTGCTCTATCATCATGGAATGGGAATATTTATAGGGGTTTCTTCACTAAGCCTAATATATACTGCAAATATAACATTTTTCTTTTACGAATTGTAATTTTTTAACATTTTTTTCTGTTCATTAGTCCATACACAGTTTTTCTCCGGATGCAGCATGCGGAGTAACAAAAGGCTGCTTCAAATCGTACGAGTGTGCGTCGGGAGATTGCACTTACCAGGTCGCTTGGTACAGAAACGGCGACCAGATGGTATTTGAGTACACTTCTACGATCACCGCAGCTAGTAAATACCTCTGCTTAGGTTTTTCTGATGATGACGAAATGGTTAGTATAAGAGCACAAACCTGAAAAAATAAGAATTTCCTAGGTCTATTATATACTTTGAGATTTGAGTTTATATTGGGACGATGATGCAGACTAATCTCCATTTACATAGCAAAAAGATAAACGATAGGGTACCATAGTGGATGTAAGGTTAATTTGATATGGATAAATGTTATAAATGAAAATATCTGCATTTATAGTTTTACCCTGCAACGTATTAAACTATTAGCTTTAATCGTCGGCTCCCTACTTTTCCATAAAACATTTTAAAACAATTTAATAAATTATCTTTATAAGACAAACAAGTTTCTAATCTCTTGTATAATTATTGAAGGAGACAACCAAAAGACAATGCATGTGAAAGCATTGGCTTCTTTCAACTTCATGGCGTTACGGCATGTATTTTGACAATAGCTACCTGAAAATACACGTTGAAGTAAACTGACAATCTAAAAAAGAAATGATTAAATTTGATTGATTGATTGATTTTATACTGTTTAACGTCCCTCTCCAGAATTTTTTCACTCATATGGAGACGCCACCACTTGCCGGTGGAGAAAAGTTACAAATTTTGTTAGTCCATATGCTTTTTCGGCACTCAGGGCCTTTGAGCATTGTGGTATCTTTTATCCAGCACGACACGAAATTACCATTGTTAATTGACAATACGGGGTCTATCTTGTTGCGTTGAAGGCCACAGCAAGTGTTTTCCGCGTCCCGCAGTGGGACTAATAACGGAGCGCAATTGACGTAAGGATTGTTTGACTCCTTATCAAAAACCATAGAGATATTGTCAATCAGCAGAGCATCTTTTTTAACCACTGCGCCACGTGTGTGCAATCAGATAAAATTTTTGCAAATGATGTTAACAGATTACGGTTCTTTTATTAAAAAGAACTATATAAAATTCAAAAATATTTAAAGCTTCATCTCTTTGTAAAAAAAAAAAATTCACAAAATGCCTAAAAAGCCTCATTAAGATTAGGATAAACCTAAATATTTTTAATAAAATGTAGTTAACACGACTCTCTTTTCATTTAATATATATTCATTGACCTAATTTATTGTATTGTTTCTGTATTTCAGGGCGAAACATATAAAATGGCGTGTAAATATGTATCTGTATTTAGTGTAACTGTTTAGTTAATGGGAGGTTTCAACATTGAAATATATAAATCAATATAGAAAGCTACACTGTTTTGTTCAATGTGAGTGCTTTTATTTTCAAATTAGCAATTTTAAAATTCAAATTAAAGAAACTTTTATGACCTTTAGATATAAATGTGTTTGGGGTTAAAGTACAACTGTAAAGTTCTTGTCTATTCCTTTATTACATTATCTGTCTGCAACTTTAAAGTTGTGGAAACCGTAACGTATAAATAACAACAACAACTTCAAAACCATTAGGTTGATGAAGTTGTAAATCTAATTAAATTCCAAGGGTTTTTCATGACTTTGAATGAAATTCACAGTCCTTGAAAACCATTGTCAGTTCATAACATTGAAATAGAAAAGCAATCAGATTTAGTATCCAGCGCATGTTACCCAATGCATAATATGTTTATTTTTCTCTATCTTAAATCAGATGAATAAAAGAAAATATTGCTTCGAAAAATAAAACCAGCAAATAAAAAATATTTGAATTAACAATTATTATTTATGATGTGAAAATACTTCAAATAAACTGATCAAAGTTTTATCAAAAAAAATATTTTTATAACGTTTATTAATCAAAAAAAAAATTCAAATTGTAATAAATATTTCGTTCTTTTTAGCCACTGGAGAAAATTACTAATGTGGTAACTTCTGCAACTGGATCCTTATTCACGTGTACATTTGACAGACAAATCAATTCAACCAACCCAAAAATATTCGACCTCAATTCAAAATGGTATCTTCTGATTGCAGAAGGATTTATCAGAGGTAAAAATATCATCATATAACATCCATCAGTATTAGTATTTAGCTTACTAAACCATCTGATGTACAACTAGTAAAATATGGAATGAACAAAGAGAATGATTATAAAACTTAAAACCCCCTCTTCTTTTTTTGGTTCAGTTATACTAATATCTTTTCAGTTATACTAATATCTTTTTAATCTAACAGGCTGGTATAATATAATATAATTTTAAAATGTATTGAGTTTCTGTGTTTTCTTTTGCACAATCATAGTAGAAGTAAACGAAAGTAAATGTTAAATGTAGTCACAGTGCTTTTCATTGTCGGTGTTACAATAGTCTATTTGCTACATGTACAATATTTCGAGTTTAAGAAATTTTGTAATTATATTGTAGACGGAATGATGCAGGAACATTATTTCGAACACACTCCCCATTCTGAGAATACTGTTGATATGTTTGGATTCGAAGTGATCACAGGAAAACGACTGAAGGAGCCAATTGTCAAGTTACACGGTTGGTGCAAATAGAATAATACCTTACTAGTGTTGCTCAGAAGAAATGTATAAAAAAAGCTTATTATGGAGCCCATAAATGCCAAAAATATTTATTTTTATTCATTTTCAAATGAAAAATTAATTATTGTTTTCTATTGCTTGATATCTATACAATATTGTTTAGTAAAGAACGATCATCTGACCATAGGAGTTGGATTTGATTTTACTTATGCTACGTATCTATTGGGAAATATGTAAAATTGAAATTTAATTAAAATAAGCGGACAAACTTTGAAACAAATTATTATGGATATATAAATTAAAAAAGAAACCATAAAAAGCCAAAAAGAGAGCTAACTCTCTATATGGAAAATAATACCTTGCTTAGTAAGATATAATCATATCAATAACATTTGAATAGAAAAAAAATCTTTGAAATAAAACATTTTCTCTAGACTACAGCGAAAATTGATGTAAATCATGACCACGGTTCATGAAGATTTTTTTAATCAGATAAATTAGTATACATATGAGACAGTTTTTGGGAATATATAAATCAAAATAGACGCCTCTTTCTTTAATTTTTGCAGGATTAATCATGGTCTTGGCTTGGATGGTTTTCTCCAGTGTAGGCTTACTTATTGCCAGGTACTTCAAATCTCAGTGGAGCGAAAGAACTATCTTAGGACAGAAAGTTTGGTTTCAGGTATCCATAATACACAAACTAAAAAAAATGCAAACGTACATATTCTACATCATTCACAAAAACCATGTACTTGTAGATATCTCATTGATAGAACTTTTTCTTTAAAAATCAAGTAAAATAATGCATGCTTAATACATAAAAGTTTGTAAAAACATATTTTTTTTTATTTTTAGCTCACCTGAGCCTAAGGCTTAAGTGAGCTTTTCTGATCAAAATTTGTCCATCGTCTGTCGTTGTTGTTGTCGTTGTCGTCGTCGTCGTAAACTTTTCACATTTTCATCTTCTTCTCTAGAACCACTGGGCCAATTTCATCCAAACTTGCTACAAAGTGTCCTTGTGTAAAGGGAATTTAAGATTGTTCAAATGAAGGGCCATGCCCTCTTCCAAGGGGAGATAATTATGAATTAGAGAAAAATTAATGGCATTTTAAAAAAAATCTTCTTCTCAAGAACCACTGGGCCAGGAAAGATGAAACTCATGTGGAATCATCCTCAGGTAGTGTAGATGCAAGTTTGTTCAAATCATGACCCCTGGGGGTAGGGTGGGGCCAAAATGGCCGATCAAAGTATTACATAGGAATATATAGGAAAAATCTTTAAAAATCTTCTTCTCAAGAACTACTGGGCCAGGAAAGATGAAACTCATGTGGAATCATCCTCAGGTAATGTAGATTCAAATTTGTTCAAATCATGACCCCCGGGGGTAGGGTGGGGCCAAAATGGCCGATCAAAGTTTTACATAGAAATATATAGGCAAAATCTTTAAAAATCTTCTTCTCAAGAACCACTGGGCCCGGAAAGATGAAACTCATGTGGAAGCATCCTCAGGTAGTGTAGACTCAAGTTTGTTCAAATCATGAATCCCCGGGGCTAGGGTGGGATCAAAATGGCTGATCAAAGTTTATATATAGGAAAAATCTTTTAAAATCTTCTTTTCAAGTACTTCAAAGCCATAATTAGTAATATTTATATGGAATCATCCTCAGGTAGTGTAGATTGAAGTTTGTTCAAATCATGATCCCCTTGGGGGTTAAAATTCAAGCCCCCCCCCCCCACCTCAGTAAACTTTCAGTTCTGATCTGATATGTGCTTTTTCCTAGCCGATGTGCTCAGGTGAGCGCTGTGGCCCCTGGGCCTCTTGTTAATATTATAACAAAAGAGCCATAGCTGCCTTACCGACGATTCGGCCTACTCAAGTATTTAAAAGGAAATCACCTGTTTCTATTTATAGATACATGTACTTTTTCAATGCAAAATCAAACTACATGTATGCAATCATTTGTGGACCAGTGTTATATTTTCATAGTTGCAAGTTTGTTGCATGACAGTATGTTTACTTGTCCAATACTCTTATTCTAAACAAAATCGTTGAAAATTTTAAAAAATAAAACAGGCTAGCAGCTATGACTTTGGGTCATTAAAATAGTTTGACTGTTTTTCCCCAAGATACTTTCAATGTGTAATGTTGTATTATATATCTCTTTTAAAAATCATTTATACATGTATGTATTATAAAATAATAAAAGAAAACATAGGAAAATGCACACAGATTGAGGAAAAAAAATAAAATCGTAGTTAAGTAACACGCACTGAGAGACTCGAACTCACGTTCATTATGTCTTCAATCCAGCAATCATACCACTACGCCACGAAGTCTTGGTAAACAATTGGATAAAATTAAGACATATTGTTGAAGTTTGAAATAATTTTAGAAGAAAAATTAAATACATATTTTCAACATTTTCAATATGAAGACCACCTTTAACCAAAATTATCTAAACGTAATGAAGTGCAGTCATATCCAAAAAAAATTATTCAGAAGTTGTTTTTCTGGTTAAGGGTGGTCTTTTCCTATAGTTTGTCATTGTTTAGGGGGGTACCTCAGTATTTACTATATTCTCCATATAAACTGAACGATTTTTATAACTATCATAAATATAATAATTGAGTATTATTTTTGTGTGAGTTGCTTTAAGGCATGTATAAACTAACATTGTATGACAAAATTTTGGTTAAACAAAGTATTTAAAAAATCACTACTAGGGTAGGCGAAAGTGACTATCAAATGCGCTGTGGCTCTTTGACAGTAAATAATTATATAATTTTGTAATTATCAGGTTCATCGTGGTTGTATGGTTTTAGTGCTTTTATTTACGGTGATTTCATTCTTCATCATTATACTCTCCGCGGGGAAGTACAGAGATGTAAGTTTATACAATATTGATGACTTATTAAAAGTCCCTTACTTATGCAGCAATGTACCTTCATCACCTGCATACGGAGTATATATATCTCAGTTGATTCGATACGCAAGAGCATGCTCTCTTGAACAATTTCTTAAACGAGGTAAATTATTGACAAGCAAGTTGATGAAACAAGAATATCAAAAGTCTATGTCAAATGATTTTTTAAATTCTATGGTCACACAAAACCTTGTCAGCAAATACAATTTGTCATTGAGTAATGTGCTACGTTTTTCAAAATTGTTAGTCCATTATTTATACACTGAATTGACATTTTTTCCGTTATTTCCTGATCATGACATCGAGCACATGGCGGGTGTGACCGGTACAATGTAACTGTTCCATGGCACCTGATACACCTCTGATGTGGACATCACGTGATGGCTCTTGTTTTGTATATTGTTTAATGGACGTTGAGATTGAATACTGTTCGTTATTTCCATATCCTTCATACATGTGCGTAATTGTTCTTTAATTATTTTTATACTGGTAAAAACGATATTAAAAATTTCTTTGCTCTGCTGTATTTTTTTTAATTTATCAAAACTCAGGTATTTGGATGAAGAATTTTATGAATGTATTATTGACTATAGTCCGGCACGAAAAGCTCTTGATTAATACAAGGTATTTATACACTTATTTTTTAGTTGACAATATACAACTACAATCTTGGGAATCGTCATACTGATCTTGACCTGCATTAACGTATGTATCGTATCATATAGAAATATACTAATTTAAATATTAAATATTTTCTTACTTTGATATACCAGTATATTTGTACCATCTGAAAATGACTTCATTACCTGTATGATTAAATTAAATAATTATTATAATTAATAGATTGGTTTTGATTATTTTTGAAGTTAAATGATAACATTTTTTAATTTTGTCCAATTAGGTCGATTTTTTCCTATTCCTAATTCAGTCAAACATGTTGATCGTTTTAAATTCCTATTTCAGCAAATCATTTCGGTTTGTTTCAATCCCTATTTCAGCCAATCAAAGCGTTCTTTTTCTAAAAAATCATGTCACTTTCCGGTGCTCTAACGACAACTTAAATTTAACTGGCATTTTTTTTTTTCTGCCCATATTTTAGCAGGTTGATATTATTTCTTCTAAATCAAACGTAACAAATGTAATCATAATTGAAAATGATTTGAAATGGTTGCTGTTTAAATTTGGTGGAATCAGAGGCAAAATTATATTATTTTTTGCAGTGATAAACATCATTTTTGGTCTACAGTTGACAAAATCTGTAGTAAAAATTGGAGCTACATACGTTATGTATGTTTATATAGCTCTGTATGTACTGTTCGAAGTTGTATTCGAAATTTTAAAGATGCAAGAGAATGGTCAAATTAAAGGTTAGTTATATATAACTTCATATCCCCTGCTCTTTCGCTTTCTCTCTCTCTTTCAAATAATTTTTTTACTCAAGTGCCACATGGGGGATACTACATGGATAACTAATTTAATTCTTATCGAATATGAGCGAAATACTTTTGTATTAATTTTTATTGAATAATGCATAATCATGATTAATTCTTTGTGTATTTCAAAGATAACAAGTCATATGATGTAAGCATGACGAATATAATCGATAGGAAAACAGCTGAAAAAGCGGAGACAACTAATAAGGTATACTGTGATGATTCATAAAGCAAGTAATGTTAAGTTATACAACAAGCGTAAAAAAAAATAAGACTTTTAATTTTTTATTTTTTCAGTTTTCTCGCATGAGGTTTTTTCTTCTGATCGCGCATCTGGTTACCATTGGTGTGTTGTCATTGACCGTTATTGTGTATATCTTCCTGGGCATATGAGAAAACAACATACAGCAAATTATTGGGCTAAATGAAATGATTTATAAAATCATTGATAGTCTATTGAACCTCAATACAATTGGAAGCGTACCAAAAAAAAAAGATAATTTCAAGCAAATTATTAGGCTAAATGAAATGATTTACAAAATCATTGACAGTATATTGAACCTCAATACAATTAGAAATGTACCTACAAAAAGAATATCAAGCAAATTATTGGGCTAAATGAAATGATTTACAAAATCATTGACAGTATATTGAACCTCAATACATTTAGAAATGTACCAGAAATATGTTATAGAAATGTATTTAATTTATACAATCACACAGTATAGAAGTATCATAATACTCATTTTTAACACAGGGAAAGTGTCAAGATAATGATTTTGACTGACAGTTTAAAACTGTTTATAAATCATTTACAGAGTTATTTAGTCTTGAACCCCAGTATTATATATTGAAGGAGGAAGGGTTATATTCATTATAATGTTCAATTTTTTTTACAAACAAATATCAAAATCTTATGTCATTTTGAATTATTCAACTTTAATGAAATGTACATTTTGGACAATTAAAATTATCTAAATCTAAGAAAAAAATATGTGAATGAATATTTTTACAAAATAATTTTGCCAAGTACATTAAAATTTTAATCCAATTGTTGTCAATGATACCAAAATGCCGCAAATTTATCTATTTATATAATGGTTGGTTTTTGAGCTGTTGAAACATATCCATCATGTCTCTAATTTTACGTAACATCTGATTTAGATCTGTATATTGTTGCACAATGCTTGACCTACTTTTTATTTGTCATAATTTTTATATAAAATGTTTGTATATTAAAACAGCATTGTTATGTATTGTATTGTAACTTTGAATTATTATTGATGTACTGTTTTTCAATATGAAATTATTACTATTGTATACTATAAACGAGTGGAGCTGTGATTTTTTATTGAAATATTAAATAACACTTGATTTCATTTTTCACGTTTCCATTATTCAATTTAACTCATTGAAAAAAAGTTATAGTACATGAGATATATGTTACTATTTGTTATTTAATAAATTGATAACCCAAAGTTATATTCTGAATAAACTATATAAATATATTATTTTAATTTTGTGAAATTAAAATTGCTATATATTGTGATTTATTAATATATATATAATTCACGATATATAATGAATTTTGCAAGATGATTTTTTTACGCTGTTTTTCAGTTAACAGGCCATTTTTTTTTATTTTAATTCATCCGTCACAAAGATGATTATGACCTCGAAAAATAGCTTGTTTCGATATTAAAAACACATTTTTTTTTATCACTTTCCATACAGATAATTAATAACCATGTCAGCTCATAAACAACAAAATACAGCATCTTCATATATTTGTAGCAATGCAGATCATTAACTTCAAGGTTCATGCTTACGTCTCCAATAGAATATCCGTTTTATATACAAAAAAAAAAAAAAAAAGATTAGAGGTTTCAGTTAACGCTAAAGTAATTCTTAAGGAAGTATATATGAGACATTATCATAAAGATAACGGAATTTTTCCTGTATATTTTACATCTTATCATTAAAATTCACCCCTTTGCAGATGTACATAAAATGACACAAGAATAGTAATTGATTTCTTGATCCTGCTGTCTTCTGTTGATTTGGAGAGTGTAGGATAGTGAGATGATTTCATCAGTGCTGTGTTTTGTTTCTAAAACAAATTCTAATCCCCTCGTACTGTCTCATGATCATTCCCTTCACATTGATCTGTTTTGGACAGCATTGAAAATTTGCCATATCTTTACACAACACTCTCTACAAACTTTCTTTATTAATTTTTTTATGACGAATGTCCTGAATGTTTCTGTTTTGATATGAGAATGACGAGAAGAATGAATAATATAAAGCAAATAGTACCATACGAAACTAGCTAATTACGTGCGTGTGTTGTAGGTGATCGTAGTTACTAAGCCATCAGTTTACTTTTACCTTGGTGAATTAACTATGCTTATTGGTCTCTGGTTATACTGTGACACAAAAAGTAAATTCAGAAAACGAACTGCACATTTACCATTTTCTCCTCAATGGTACTTGACTCACAATGGCGTTCTAATGTACACATTTAATAATTATATATTTAATATCCCCTAGGCTTGCATTAAAGAAATTAACAACAGATATGTACCACCAAAAAAATACTTTTTCTATCTATCATTTCTCTCATTGTTTCAAAACAAAGAATGAATAAACGAAGGTAATATTACCATGATGCGAAGTTTGAAAAATCATTACTTTTCCGAAACTTCATTCACTTAGCGAATGCGCACTGTACATGCACTTATCAGTCACCAACCAACTAAAAGTAAACATAAAAATCAATACTATGAAGCCGACGACCTTTTACCCGTATGTACTCAAATATTCATCAAGAAATTTAAAAATAAAAAATACCCGATTCACTGGCCAGGTTTTATCTGTTTCTAAGAGAAAGGTTCACCTGAGGATAGTGTAATTTTGTCTTTCATCGGAGACACTTGACTTACCGGGTTATATTGACCAAATCGACCTCAGTTGATTAGGTATCTGAATGTTTACATTGTGAATCATACAAGTTTTAATTTGAAGAGTTGTTGAAGTACTTTATACGTGAAAATATTAGTTGTGTTGAAATTGTCATCGAGAGGAATAATATAAAACTTCGGTTCCATTAAAAACTTACAATGAAGTGACCTCTGCGTACCTTGTCGAATATTACAAGTTCTGAGTGCTGGTATGATGTTCAAGACAGTTATTTTCATAACCATCGCTATAATTCGCATTGAGGTAAGTAAACTTCAACTATTATCCTTGATTTGGCTTAGATAGAGTTAAATGTACATATTATTAATTGTGTAATATGACAGAAATCGTATCAGCCGCATATATCATTCGTATACATATTAAGGAACATAGCATTAGGGAACATAGCATGTGAAATCGAGATTATTACTTTTTTGAACCCATAAGATTTAAGTGTCTGTGTACATTATGTTATTCTTTCTGCTTTAAGAAGTCTTTCGAAACGTTATTCTGACAAATCTTAAAAGTTAATGCATAACTTGAAGCACAATTCATCCTGGACTCCATGCCACTAAACCGGAATGATATCGCAGTATATATTTTACGTAGTTGAAGAAAAGAAACAAAAAAAAAATATGCATGTAAAACTTCATGTACATTATTATGTTACCATATCTGATCAATAAAAAACATTTTTTTTAATACGAAATAATGCCTGATAAGGTCGCTAAGTCTAGCTGTTTGGCTCTTTGTCGACTTGGCTTTTTAGTGATTTAAATTTGGCGCCTTGTAAAAACTTAATTATCTGTCCCAGGTACATATCGTCATATGAGTAAGAAAAAGAATTTTTAAAGTTCTTTTCAATATATTTGAAAAAAAAACTGAATCAAATTACGTTGAACAAATATTTATTTTATTTTATTTGAAAAAAAAACTTTTATAGACGTAAAATATATACTGCGATATCACTTCCAGTTTAGTGGCATGGAGTCCAGGATGAGCTGTCAAAGTGGAAAAATGGCCAGAAACGGCCCGTAGTCGTCAAGCAGATTGAATTTTTCGACTTGAATAAATAACACAAACGCTCCGAATACTGAATTTGTCGGAATTTTTTTCTGGCCAAGCCCAGATCTATTTGTTAAGGAGGGTCCCCCCAAAACACGTTGCCATCCTAGGGTTTTTTTAGTTAAGGGTGGGAATTTTTTTTTGGATTTTTTTGAACGATAACGATGAAGACTTCAGACTTACAAACTCATAACAAATCAAAGAATTTTAACTTATTTTAAGAATGTCAAACTATTGGCTTTAATCACAGATATACAAATGATAGATAAACTCATGTTACATGTCGTTATATTGAGATTGTGAAACAATTTTTAACCGAATATTGAGTGGTATTTTTGCTGTCTTATTTTCTGATTTGAATTTCAGATTTATAAAATTGCAGTACTAATTTATATTTTGGGATTAGTAAATATTAAAATGCATTTCCCGGCACAGAACACATTATTGTAACAGTTGAAGTTATGTCTATGTAATATATTAAGATCAGCTTTCCTTTGCTCAGTGAAGGTGGTGTCTGATAATCGACAATGTTTTGATGCTGTCGTTGTGAAAAATCAGAAAAAAGACAACATACTTCCAAAGAAAGGATATACATGTATATATCAAATTAAAAAAAAAATCATGGCACTTATCTTATTTCTTATGTATGGAAAGAACGTAGTCAAGTAACTAAAATATCAATTTTAATTACATGCGCAAAGGTTTGATATTTGTAGATTATAAAGGGGTTTTCTCCAGATACAACATGTGGAGTATCCAAAGGATGTTTCAAGTCGTACGAGTGTTCATCCGGGGATTGCACGTACTTGGTCACATGGTACAAGAACGGGGACAAGATTACATTTGAGTACACCTCTACCATTAAAGGATCCAGTAAATATCTGTGTTTAGGATTCTCCGATGATGACGACATGGTAACTATTCAAACTACATGTACACTGTATCTTAACATTGAAATACCGGTATTAAAACTATTACCTTCATTAAATTATTGAAAGTGTCTAGGAAATGAAATAAGTTCGATAATTTTTATCATATGACAAAATGTGCGATAGAATGTTTTTTTTTTTTTAAGTTATTCAATTTCTTTTTTTTAAAACAAAATTTGAATAATCTGCTGATGTATTAACAACTGTAAGCATAAATGAGCTTAAATGAAAGTACAGAAAACGTAAAAAGGTACGTGTAGAGTGTTAAAGTGTATTTGCATGACATTGGGAAGTTTTAAGGCATAATAGGACATGCACACAGGTCTAATTCTAGTAATCAATGTTAAATGGACTTGGATTGATATAAGAGTTATCAAAATCTCTGGTCATTTAAATAAAGCACGTACCAGCCAAAGACCACGGAATAATGTAACCTCAATAAGCGACACACTGAACTAGAAATAAATAAGCATTTGAAATACACGTGGAAAAAAAGTCCCATTAAGCAAAGCAGATTAGATTTTTTCTTATATCAGAGAATCTACTGTCAAGTGTTACAACAAGTTCTATAGAACCGAGTTATAGGTCCGACCACTCGATTATTACTTTATGTTTAAAGTTCAATGATTTTAAGAAAGACAAAGGATTATGGAAATTTAATAACTCGCTTTTATACGACGAACAATTTCTAAACTCAGTTAAGGGGGTGATACAAAGGGTTAAAGAGCAGTATGCAGCTCCAGTATACAATATAGATAACTTGCAATCTACTGAAGATGAAAATATTCTATTTTTAGTCAATGACCAGTTATTTTTAGAAACACTTCTTATGGAAATTAGAGGGAAATGTATTTCATATTCGTCTTTTAAAAAAAAAATCCAGACTTTTTTAAAGAAGAGAAACTTATAAAAGAAATAAGTTCCCTTGAGGAATTGGCACATGGATCTACAAGTAATAATGAAATTCTTGAAGATAAAAAAAATATTAGAAACGAAAAAATGGCTGGTGTATATATAAGGTCGAGGGCAAGATGGATAGAAGAAGGGGAGAAACCGACAAAATATTTCTGTAATCTCGAATCAAGAAATTTCTTAAGTAAAATTATTCCAAAAATTGAATTAGAAAGTGGAGAGACAGTTTATAATCAGTCAGATATCTTAAAAACTAGCAAACAAAATTATGAAAATTTGTATAGAAATGTAGATGATGTGGTTGAAGGAGGCAGGAGAAACACCTTTTAGAATAATAATAATAATAATAATAATAATAATAATAATAATGCTTTATTTAAAGAAGGTAACCCGATTAGTACAAAGTACTATTCTTCCCCGGGGCCTTCTACAATTCAAACAATATACATATTAAAATGGTACAATCAAACATATATACACAGTACATGAACAATGATAAGCTCATTTTATATCTTCATAATCGGATGTATATATAATGTACAAATTAAACTAATGGAAATATAGGACAATAAATAAGTCAATATACAGAATTTAAAAGACGTAGTAATAACAATAACAAGGACATCTATAATAATGAAAATTACAGACGTTGGCTGATTATAACTTTTTCCAAATTCTTTCTAAAAACAGGCAAAGATGGTGATAATTTAACATGTAATGGTAGATTATTCCATAAATGTACACCTGAATATTGTAAAGAGTTTGTTAATAGGATTGTTCGATGCTTTGGTAATCGAAGATTATAATTCAATTCTGAACGCAATGAGTAGGAATCGGAACTGTGAAAAATAAAAAGATCTTGGATATATTCTGGGCTCATACCACAAAAAGTTTTATACAATAAAATACATTTATAAAACGTAACTAACTCAAAAACATTTAACCATCCTAGTTTTTCAAACAAAGGCTTAGATGAATAGTCAGGTGCTGCATCAAGAATAATTCTAGCAGCACGTTTTTGAAGTTTATGAATTCTCTCGATGTTAGATTTTTATTCAAAAGTCACTTAATTTCTTTCATTTTGGAAAGTCTATCAGGAAATGGGTTAGTTTATTTTATTCAAACATTACTTCAGCAGTAAATCAGGGAGAAAATTTATCAGAAACATTCTCTTTGCATCGAGGATGCCGCCAGGGAGACCCATAATCCCCATACTTATTCTTAATATGTGAGGAAATTCTTGCTATTAAGATAAAAATGAAATCGAATAAATCGCCTGGCTCTGATGGCTTTACCTCAGAATTCTTCAGGGTCTTCTGGAAATTTATATGCGTTTTTGTTGTCAGATCAATTAATTATGCATATGATCACGATATTTTAAGTGTAACTCGGAGACATGGAATCACTATCTGCTTACCAAAAGGCGACAAACCTAAACATTTTTAAAACAATTGGAGAACTATCTCTCTTTTAACCCCTTCCATGGCAAAGATTTAGAGCATTTCTAGACAAATTGATATTAAGATTTCAATGCATTTTTGGGGGTATTTCTTGTAATTTTTGTATATACCAATTACATATATTCTGAAAGCAGGTATTGTGTGGTTTCTGAAAATGATTATAAAAATTTCATTTCAGTTGCCATCGCAACGAATTACACCATAATCATGCTGGAATTTCCATTTATTAAATAATGAGTTTCATTTTATTTTTTTGCTTAGTTAAATATATTTAAAAAATATTTTATTGTTGTGTTGAAAATTATGAACATGTTGTACATTTTTTTTACAAACCAATTTTAAGTATTTTGGGGGGATTGGATAGGGTTGGGATGTAAACACCAGAATTTAGTATTTTTACATATAACGTGTTACCCCCGCATTGATTTCGATTATGGCAAAATCGCTCAAATAGTGCACACAGTTTTACTCAAGCTAGTAAAAAACTGGTACATCAGATAAAAATATATTCTGTAAAATATTTTACCGTATTTATTCTCTCTTTCCAACAGTGCAAGATTTATTCTGAAATTTCAGGTATAAACGAAGTTATGAATGTTTTTTCAGACTGTTCTTGTTTTTCAAGTCAGATGAGTAGAAAAGCGTATATGCCATGTAAGGGGTTAAACACAGTTTATAAAATTGCATCTGGTTCAATTGCGAATGGAATTAAAAGGTTTCTAGATAAAATTATAAATCCTGATCAAACAGGCTTCATACAGGGTAGGAATATAGCTGAAAACATAAGACTAATCTATGACATTATGCAATATACAGAAGAAGAAAAAATACCAGGTCTTCTCCTTTTTGACTTTGAAAAGGCATTTGATTCTGTCTCTTGGGCTTTTATTCAAAAGTCACTTAATTTCTTTCATTTTGGAAAGTCTATCAGGAAATGGGTTAGTTTATTTTATTCAAACATTACTTCAGCAGTAAATCAGGGAGGAAATTTATCAGAAACATTCTCTTTGCATCGAGGATGCCGCCAGGGAGACCCATAATCCCCATACTTATTCTTAATATGTGAGGAAATTCTTGCTATTAAGATAAGAAATAATAAAAACATCAAAGGTATACATCTCCTTGAAGGGGAAAAGAAAATCTCAATGCTTGCTGATGACACTTCTCTTATATTGGATGGATGGCAGCGAGAAATCTTTACAATGAAGTTTACGTACCCTTAGAGAATTTGCAAAAATGTCCGGTCAAGTAATATGGATAGGTAGCAAAAAAGGTAGTGATGAGGTTTTATGTAGAAATCAATTTCTTGAGTGGGGAAAGAAAAACTTTAAGTTACTAGGTATTGAATTTGACATAGATTTGCAGAAGATACTTTCAAGGAATTTCAGTTCAAAGTTAGAAAACATAAAGAAAATGATTAGACATTGGAAACGTAGGAATTTCACACCACTAGGACGATACACAGTTTTGAAAACACTTTTATTGCCAACATTGAACCATATTTTTGTCTCGCTTCCAAATCCTACTGATTTAACTTTTCTATCGTCAGCTTCCCTTACTTATGCAGCAATATACCTTCATCACCTGCATACGGAGTATACATATCTCAGTTGATTCGATACGCAAGAGCATGCTCTACGTATGAACAATTTCTGAAACGAGGTAAATTATTGACAAGCAAGTTGATGAAACAAGAATATCAGCAGTCTCGTTTAAAGTCATCATTTCGTAAGTTCTATGGTCGATACAATGACCTTGTCAGCAAATACAATTTATCATTGAGTCAAATGCTGACTGACGTTTTTCATACCAATTGTTAGTCCATTATTTATACAATGAATTGACGACGGATTCTTTCTGTTATTTCCTGATCATGACAAGGAGCACACGGCGGGTGAGACCGGTCGGCAGGGGATGCTCACTCCTCCATGGCACCTGATCCCACCTCTGATGTTTCGGGGGTCCGTGTTTGCTCTGCTCTTATTTTGTATTGTTTTATGGACTTTGAGATTGAATACGGTTCGTTATCTCCATATCCTTCATGTAAAAGATTTAGAAAACACCTTTTATTATTCTTTTGTAATGGGAAGTAATACTTTTAGACTGTAAAAGGTTTTTGTATTAAAGATCTTAAAGATGGCGGTTTCAAGATGATTAGTATAAAAGAGTTTATTATTTCTCTGAAACTGGTATGGATGAAAAATGTTATACTGCAAGGTAAATATTCATATTTAGCCTTAGATTTAAATTAGATTTCAAAAAGAAATAGGTTTTTGTGGAGAAGAATACATCCTGAAGAAAATAAAAGATGAAAAAAAATATCTTTTGGAAAAATGTTTTATAAGCCTTGCTACTTTTTTCCAAAAAAAAAAAAAAAAAAATACCAGAACCAGAAGCAAGTGCCGCTATGGAACCACTATTTTTTAATAGAAATATTCTGATTTTTTATAAGAAATGGTTTGAAAATGATATTTTTTTGTAAATGATCTCTTAAGAGAGGACGGTTCCTTTATGGATGTAAATATGTTTAACTTGAAATATGGAATCTATACAAAGTTTCTTGAGTACAATGGACTTACAGCTGCTATTAAAGAATGGATGAAAATCAAAAATATTCCTTCTATGCCAACTGTTTATATGCCATATATTACACAAAAAATATCATATTTATTAAAGGCGAAGAAATCAAGAAATTGGTATGAAATTTCGAAAAGCAATGACATCAAGCCATTAGGTCAAACTAGCTGGAATAGAATTTTTAACTTGAATGATACTGAATGGGAGAAAAATTTTTCTTTTTCTTTTAAGCTCACAAAAGATACAAAACTTCAGTGGTTTCAGTTCCGAATTAATCATAAAATATTAGCAACAAACTCCTTTTTACATAAGATTAAGAAAATAGGTTCATATGGGTATTCTTTTTGTAAAACTGAAACAGAAACTATTGCACACATCTTCTGGGAATGTGAAGTAATACAAGACTTATTGAATAGTTTTGATAGTTATTGTTTTAGAAAGATTCATATTAATGTTGTATATTCAAAGAAAGAATTCATATTGGAATCTTTTGCAAAATTAGACAAAATTAAATATCTCATTGCTCTTATAATTAAATATTTTATCTATAGAATGAGATGTAGTGGTAAAAACCTCTCCTTGAATGGACTGATATCCTCCATCAAATATATGTTTGAAACAAACAAGTACATTGCATATAAGAACAATAATCAGTTGACTTTTGACGAAGCCTGGAACCCCTGGAAGAATCTATTTATGTAATTTTTGGTTATCTCACCATCCCTTCTCTCTCTCTCTCTCTCCTCTCTCTCTCTCCTCTCTCTCTCTGTCTTGCTCTATTTTCCCATTCTCTCATAAAAAATTACAGAAAATGTATATATGTATTGTAAATAATAATAAAAAAAGAAATCAATAAGCATTTTTCAAGGTAGAATACAAAACACCCGATCAGAATTAAAGTGATTTAATGAATCAGGCATCTGTTTGCTAGCTTCATTCGTATCTTACATGCTTTTGGCAGGGGATGCTAACTCCTTCATGGTACCTGATCCCATCTCTGATGTTTTAGAGGTCCTTAATTGCTTTGTTCCTGATTTGTATCGTTTAATAGACTTTTGAGCTTGCATACTATTCATTAAATGATGTCCTTGATGCTCGGAAAGAAGCAAAAGGCACTTTTCAATGATTTAGTCTTAATGATTTAACTTAAATATTCTTGAATTAAAACACATGTCCGTTACATTTTTATCCAATATCTGATTGTTTATTGAACTCATTTTTGAGTAAAGCCCTTCGTATACTGAATTATGACAGATCCTATGATTTCCTGAACTTGTTTCTTCTTTCTGAAAGTTTTTTTACAAGTTTGAACCACGTCAAAGGGTGACATTTCTGGCGAATAGTATTGTGTGACAAAATGTTACCTTTCTGTTTATCCCCAAACTCGTTTACTCTTCATGGCATGTTGGTTTGGACGCTGTCATGAAGAAAATTTAGTGGATTCCTGATTATAGGTCTTACTCTCAAAAGCCTTTCGATTTTTGCAAAATATTTGCTGTCTAGACTCCAACAGAAATTGAACTGCCTTCCCGAATAAGAATTTGAACAAGACCATTAATATTTGAGAAAATGGCATAAAGTCTGTCTTTTTCCTCTTGTAGTTCTTTGCTCTTTTCATACCTTTGCTGTTTTTATTCAGTGCATCTTATTGTAAAAATGTTTTGAGGGTAATAAAGCAATGGATTCATGTTTCATTATCTGTTTGAATTTCAGACAAACGTGGATAACTACAATTTCTGATTTTTAAAAATAATTGTTTAGATATTCTTACACGATGTCGTTTTCACTCATTTTTCAAAACATAGGGTGACCATTGAGTACTTAGCTTTTTTTACTGTCAAACGTTTCTTTAAAATAGTGTAAATTATCCCCAAATTGATTTCTTTTAAACTTGCTATGTGTTTTAGAGTCAATAAAAAATCATAAGTGATAATTTGTAGAATTTTGGCAAACAGAACATTGATTGTATTAAGTCCTTTTCGTCAAGGACAATACCCATTTTTGATGCCCATTATATCATTATTGTTCACTGAAATCCACCTGCTCATGTGTCTATAAAACAGGCATTGGTTGCTGTAACTTTCACAAATTTCAATGAATATTTTTTGGAATTCTTATCAAGTTTTACAGCAGCTTAAATGAAGCGTTTAATTTCGCTCTAGTTTACTGATTTTTTACCATTCATTTTAATTCAGTGCATCGAATAGCCCTTGTTTTCCAGCTTCTCACAATGAAAATATGAGATGAAAAGTGGTCACATTAACTGATATAAATAAATTAAAGATTAAATCATGAGAAAGTCAAGCGTAATGTCATATGTTTCTCTATTGTATGCCATAGAATTCAGGACATTATTTATTGAACACCCCTCGTATTTAAGAAAGAATGATAATAAAGTCTCTGAATAAATATTAAGATTGCAGAAGCAATCTGAAGAATTCTAATAATGTTCAGAACTGTTTTAGGGTGACGACAGCACAATAGCTTGTAAATATGTGTCCGGCAGCGTCTCAGTAGAAGAAGGGTACAATGTGGAGGAAACTTACACCAGATTGTCCAATGTAAGTCTAATGGCACTAATACTGGTAACACATAGAAGAGACAGAGCATATTGTACAACATTGACCACTGAAGCACAGTAGGAATTTAGAGCATTACAAGTCAAAGTTAGTATCGCCAACATCTGTTCGCATCCAAAGGTTTTCTTTACAATTTTGTGTTGCAAAACAAATTACACAACCGTTTGAAACAGTGAATATCTCAAAGTAAGTAAAAAGTTAATTCAATATTTCCTTAAGACTGGATAAATGTGATATAAATTACAAAGTATATGTTGTACTTTTTCCGTTCTGATGAATCTACCTTACTGGTATAATTTAACATTCAAATTAAAAAATCAATATGATTTCAAAATTTTTTAATGATAAAAAAATAAAAGCGTAACTATTAAATTTTGATATATCAATTTCATACAAAACTATTTTACTTTGTTTTTGAAATGCATTCCTTTTAATTTTCAGCCGCTGGAGAAAATTTCAAATATTGTAACTTCTGCGACTGGGTCCATATTTAAGTGTTCATTTGATAGGCAAATCAATTCAACAAATCCAAAAATCTTCGATTTGAATACAAAATGGTACCTTCTTATTGCAGAAGGATTCATAACAGGTAATTATCCAATAAACAGATGCCCCTTAAATAAGATCATGTAATCTTATCGAAATATGTAAGCAGTAGTCTAGAGGTACATGAGTTTGAGAGAATTGTGACTACCGGGGTATTTAATTTTACTCTCAGACAGCTTAATGGTATAAATGATTCTTTGTACAATATATACAAAGACACAGTGAAATGGCGGAAATCATTTAAATCAACAAAAGTGATTATTAGTCTAGATATGTAACTACACAATTTAATGTATAAAGTGAAGCAGTTGGCAATAATTTTGTCTTCTTGTAAAATTTTTTTACACCACGAACAATGTTTGTTCCATTGATTTTATAAGATATTTCATTTTACTGCTTTTCTCCATTGTTAGTGTGTGATAAATTTAAAATATCACATGAGCTATATCAACGGGATAAAGGTTAAACATGGGATAAATTCCTCTACATAAGTTTTTTTTCCAACAAGTCTGTTTTCTCCATATCTCAGATGGAGTTCTGCAGGAACATTATGCTCACAAACCTCCCAGAACAAAGCATGCTGTCGATTTATTTGGATTTGAGGTGATCACTGGGAAGAAACTGAAAGAGCCAACAGCAAAACTACACGGTATGTGTCGTCTTTGCATTTCTTGAAAGAAGTAAATATAAAATTATAATGAAATCAAAATGTAAAATTTAAAAAGCTTCGTGGTGCTTTATACCGTCATCCAAATAAACAAAAATTTTAAATATCACCAATTTATATAAATAAAATAATGTGTTTTCATTAACATGTGCTGGAAAGTAGTGTTATATTTCATATTAAGGACATTTTATTGTCCCAGTAACGAAATGAAATTCATATTCATGTGCTGCGAAGGTATCCTAGTAAATATATTTAGAATGATTTATAGATACATGTATAACTTACAAATTTGTTTGAGGTGCATGGATATTTTTTACTGCATGTTATGTATTTTACTTACAGGTCTAGTGATGGTTTTAGCTTGGATGGTCTTCTCGAGTGTGGGCTTGGTTATTGCCCGGTACTTCAAATCAGAATGGAGCGAAAGAGTTATTCTTGGGCAAAAAGTCTGGTTTCAGGTGCATTAACTTTTACACATATAAAGATGTACTTCTTTTTGTCATCAATATGCAGAATTTTGCAATTCGTGACCAAAAATTTGGTTCACAAAGTTTAAATGACATCTTTCAAAACATCTTAATGGTTACTCGATGGGTGATAGGATTTACAGCATTAACTTGTAGGTTCATCGTGCTTGTATGGTACTTGTATTGGTCCTAACGGTGACGTCTTTTATGATCATTATACTGGATGCAGAGAAATACAGAGATGTAAGCCAAAAGGAACTAAAATTGAATTTCAGTCAAGTATCATTGGACACATAAAAAAATAACAATCTTCATGTCAAGCTAATTTATGTTCTTAATTCACCTGATATTTTTAGTAAATACAAGTTTTCACACTGCTAAGTGAATATTTATTTAATAATGATAATAATCTATTTTGTGATGAATAAATGATTAATTGAAAAATATGAAATATGATTTTTTAATTTCAGAATTTAGAAGCATCAGACAGAAATTATTTGAATTCACATCCTATTTTAGGAATTGTAGTCTTGATTTTGACTTGTATCAACGTAAGTAAACAGACACTAATCATGAAGAACTTTTTTCCCCAATCAATTTCCAAGGCAAAAAGCAACAATAAGCACTATGTAAATTACATTGCATCCAGTTGTAAGTAAGAACTTTTATTCCGAATAATAAGGCAAAAATATTTAATCAGAGAAATACTAATTTTGAATTAGGGAATACTCAGTGTAGCGTATGAAATCCGAGGTTTCTTTAGCCAATCATTTCGTTCTTCTATTTTTTATTCAGCCTATCATGTTGAACGTTATTTTACATGTATTCCTGTTATAGCCAATCATGTCTTTCTTTCGGTGTTCCCCCGACGATGACAGACGAAAATACTTCAACTGGGCTCATTTTATTGTCGGGGTTTCTGCCCATATTTTAGCAGGTAATATCTCCAATAAAACTTTTCAGAATTTTGAGATTCTTATTATTTTTACATGTAAATTTATAGCTCAATAAAGTAAGTAAAAGAGATAAATTGGATTATATGGACTCGGGGAGGGGGGGGGGGGGAGGGGGGAGGGAGTTGTAGTAAAACTAATTTAATAAAATGTGGCATTCATTTCAGTGATAAACATAATTTTTGGTCTGCAATTGACGAAAGCTGGAGTAAAGATAGGAGCTACATATGTAATGTATGTGTACATTGCTGTATTTGTTCTATTCGAAGTTATGTTTGAAATTCTGAAGATGAGGGAACGCACTCAGACTGCAGGTAGTCTCTCTCTCTCTCTCTGTGTATGTGTTTGAAGGGTTTAAGGGCACATTTAAATTAAAAAAAAACTATTAAAAAGAATATTTTTGATATAAATATTTTGATAACCGTGCATAATTTGAATTTTTATTTAATTTTTTTTAATAGATGCAAAGAATACAATAAGCATGACAAATATGGATCACAATGGGAAGTCTGAAAAGCAGAGCGCAAATAGCAAGGTATCTTTATGTGATACATATAATAGGTTTATAATGACTGAAAATTTTAAGACACCCTAGACAATTGCTACATTGTCAGTTCCACTAGTATATAAACAGTGGCTTGAATATTTAAAGATATATATGCCGTATTAGTGTTTTATTGCTAAAGAAATAAATATATGTAGTGTCTCATCAAGTTACATAAGTTATGTAATTTCTGCAATTAAGACAATTCCACTCCATCACTTTTAAAATTTATAAAATATTATTTTGTTAAAATTACTTTCTCTCCGAGTCGGATATTAAACCGCCTCTTATTGAAATATTCATGAACACGTGGTCTTGCATGCTCACAGAAAGCGATCTCGTGAATTAGCCGAAAAGCATGATGGTCTACTACATTTTTACTACAAACACGTGGGCTATGGAACGATGCGATTTCAAATGACGGCTGGAAAGCCAATTTACATTTTTTGAAACCTGTTTTAGAAAAATAGGAAGAAGAGTTACAAATTTCACGGTTTAATTGAAAATTACCTCTATATTCATTCTCATGTGCATTGATCGTAGAACGTGTATTGAGTAGCATACTGTATGTTTCGAAGTTGTACACATTGTAAACATTGTCAATACGTGAGCACACCTCAAAGTTAGTTGCTTTTTGTACCGAAGAATATATAGTCACGTGAAATTGGCTTTTCACTGTCAGTACAGCACGGGGAAACTGTAAACAAACGGACCTGGGGGAAAACTCTTATTTTTATCATTGTTCATTTGTGTGCAAATGTTAGCATGGGATTAGTAGATGATAATGTACATAATGCATTAAGCGTGTAAATGCTTGGAAAAATGCACCACGTCTTTCCGAGAGCGATTTAAAAAACTAGCCTGTTCGAAAAACACATGTAGTATTTATGTACTGAATAGCAACCCATAAATGCATTTAATGCATTTGAGCTGATTGGTCGATTTGTCAGTCTTGTTGGTTCCTCGCTGAATAGACGTCACAAAAATAGTTTCCTCGACCTGATGATTCTCGTGATGCTTTTCCCATGCATATGCGCAGATCCAACACAAACGTCAGTCCTTTTTAAATATGCATGAGAATATCGTGTTCTTTTCCCGACCAGTACTTTGTTAATACCGAATAATATTTCGTCGAATTTGCGAGAATGCTTCATTTTTGATAGATTATCATACTCCAGAAATTTTTGTTTGGTTTCAGCTGTGCAAAAATACTGTTTAACACGGCATACATATCTTTAACTAATGCAGATTTGATGGTAAAAATGCAGATTTGATGGTAGGGGATTGTTTAAAACTTTGTCAAACATGATCTATTTTAAAATTTCTCGAAAGACTTAATTAACTCTTATTCTTTACTCAGTTTTCTAGGATGAGGATTTTTCTTCTTATCGCTCACTTGGTGTCCCTCGGAGTATTGTCATTGACTGTCATAGTCTATATATTACTGGACATATGAAGAGGATAAAATGAAATTATAAAAAAATATTAAGAGAACAGATTAAAAATCAATGGAACAAAGTTAAGGAGTGGTAACTTTTTTCAGGGAACACCATTTTACTTATTAGTTTCCAGTTTCAAAACTACATAAAGTACACATGCATGTAAAAATGTCAATTAGTTTATTATAACTGGGATGTAGTAATCATTAAATCTAGTCCAATATCCATTGATTAATGAAAATTCATTTCAGTACTGCTTAAGTGAAAATTAGAATAATATTTGGAAAAATATCAAGTTCACTTGTATGTTTCTTCTCAATTGCATGACAATTTTATGCTATGGTAGATCTGTATTATAAGATATGATCACAAAATATATAAATTGTACGAGGGGTGATCAAAAAGTTTGAATAGCTTCCATAACGGAAACAATATTTGGTTTCAGTGTTGATCATATTTTACATTAGTCCTCTCGAACTTAAATGAACATCAGCCACCGTTCTGCGCATGCGCGAATCACGTAATATTGGCGGTCACGTGACCCGCTTCGTAGCGTTCTGTCACAAAAGCTGAACGAATTTTCTGAGTTTTATATTTCTCTGCTTGTCAGTTAATTTTTATAACAAGAACAGTTCATTTGTCAGAAATGGTCAAATTTCGGCAACAGAATGGGTTGATAAGAATATCCTTTCCAAAAATAAGCATGGCAACCATTAAAACACGAATCTTTTGTCTCGGGAGAGACGTTTATTCAAGGTGGATAGCAAATAGGTGCTTCCTTTTTATCATATCTAATATGTTTAAAATCTAAAGTAAACGATATCTTGGGTATTTAATAATTATATTATTGTTAAAATATTCAACTATTTTTCAAACTGTAATTTGGAGGCCTTTGATAGCAAATTGCTTAATAAAAAACACATATCTTTTCAAACTTGCTTTCACTGGGCAACATGACAGGTATCATTTTTAACCATCTGCTTTCCCTCACTAAAATAATCAATCCAATCATTAGTTGAATTTATAGGAAGTAATTGGTCTTAATAAATTGTGTACAAATTTTTATTTGGTACGGCAAAGGGCTTTCTATGATATATAATAAGTTGTACAGTCGTTTGTTGAACGAGTAAGACTGAGACAACCATTTTTCGTCACAAGTGACCTACATAGTGACGTCATTTTCATATTGTGACGTCACAAACAAGGAACAAAACTTTATTCAACATATGCTATTAGAACTTGTGTATGACTATGTGTGTACAAAATTTTATTCAAATCTGAATTGTGGTTTTGAAGATATAGAGATAGATCGCGAACTTTTTGATCACCCCTCGTATGTATAAGATTGTGTAATTTATAATGTATGTTTTAGCAAGATTTACGTTTTGGTTATTTTTATGTATATGAATATAATTTTTGACCATAGAAATAAAATAAATTTTACAAACAGTATTGTTAACCCCCCTAGTAATGTAGAACCTTTTACTTTCAATTTGGGCATACATTATACATATTCCATTTATCGACGTCCATTTATGACGTAATAGTAGAGTGCCTCTTATAGCCAGACTCATTGGCCACAATACAATGAATAAAAAGTAAATATTTTATCTGTAACTTTTCTGTTTCAAATTTTACACAATCAAGTGCGAACATTTCAAATAATGATCTAAGTGCTGCCTTAAGATACCCTTGCACATGATATCGGTTTTTTTTTTTCAAGACTTGTATGTCATATTTGAGGATCAATTGACCTATAATTACTGAAGGGAAAAAGAAAACCTATAAAAGAAATGAAAAATTAACTAATTTGCCGAAAATTATGAAAACTGGTCAAAGGTATACCCTAGTAATTGTGTACTGAAATCAGTTTTCAAAATGTTGGATATTTAACCAAATGAATTCTATATTTAGTTCTAGTTTGGATAAAAATATAACTTAAGGGGGCCGACTGGGGTTTTATTTGCACAATATTTCGCGCAACATAGTAAGATGAAACATATTTACTGTTGTAAAGCAACTTTTTTCACTTAATTTATAAAATCAAACCAAATTAAGAAATTACAGTTTAAAAATTGGCACTCTCATATATAACCCTATAGTAAATCTGTCTGTATTTTGAGATGGTCTGTGGACGGTAGATTTCATCCAATCTTGGCATGTACGCTGTTAATGTTATATATGGTATAAAAATGAAGAATTTCATTATTTTAGTTTTCACACAATAAAACCCCAGTCAGCACCCCCAAGTAAATTTATATTGTAAATTAGATATATAGACTTTTACCTTATTTGAAATTTAATTTTGCTTCCTTTCCCCTTAACTCATCTTCATCTTTATTATGGATTTTGAAACGCATAATACCATGTTTATACAATTAAACAAAATATTTTGTAAGTTGAATTGTCTGGAACATTTTGTCTCTCTTCATCCAAGTTAATATGAAACTCGAATTCTGAAGAATTAATAGATATACTGTTAACGTTATTGTTCTTAACAATAAGATGTGATCTATTTTAATCTAGACGAGTAAATATTGAAACATTATTGTTCAAAATCAAAAATCCATTTAATAAGTTTCCGCAATTTCTCTAAAACATTAAGAATTTTTAGGAAATCTGATTTTTCCTTCCCATTCTTTAATGATATATATAAAATTATAACTATTTTTTAATTTCCTAGTAACCAGGAAGCTTGTGTCTCTGAATAAAGTATATTTAGGGAAATAAAAAAGAAACATACAAAGACTATTAGATTATAAATTCAAAGATAATTTAAACTGTTTAGAAAAAGTCATTAAAATTAGTAACAGACTATTTACCCATAGTTTTCAGGTTTTTACTTTTCAATGCAATTTGTTATACATACACTTAATCAAAAGACAAACAAAATTTTAAAAAATACAGTTACAATGTTATAGATCATAGCACTTTTTAGAAAACTATTGAAAAAAGACTTTAAAAGCATGTATTAAATTCTCTAAATTCTCTAAACTTTTATTTGATCGACAAAGAATGTAAACCATTTTGCCATTTTGTTTGAAAGATTTAAGGATATACTAATCTTTTTATCTATAATTCATGCACGAAGAAATTATGAGTGGAAAAAATGGATGTGCTCGGGAAAAGTATCAGAATGTTAAAGTTTGATAACAATACTGATTTCAAAGTAACGGAATCAAATCTCAGCCGCTGTTGATCTAAATATTAATAGAAGATACATGTAGTAACTGCTCTTTCGCCAAGCGCTCGGTACTTTGAAGTGATAGGTTCGGGATTTTCGAATGAGATTTTAAAAATTGAGCTCCCCTATAACGGTAAGCGATGACACGTAAATAATTACCATCAATGTATGCTTTCAAGTTTACTTTCTTTAAAATAGAAAATAGCAATGGAGAGCGGGGAAAAATCAGAAAATACGAAAAATCCAGTGAATTATTCACCATATGAGGAGGGATGAAATTTGTTATCAAAATTTTCTGGCTTGGGAAGCAAAATTCATGAAATGTGTAAATCGTTTGTCGTTTTCGAAACATCTTGTTTTTAATAAAGACGTCTTTGTAAAGAAAAGCCCGTTTAATTTGATAAATTTTTACTCATTTCTAATTGTGATGACACTGTATATAGGATCAAAACTTTGCTGATCATTTTGTAAATCTCCTTGGCAAAACTTTTTTCGAACGACAATGACACACTCACCAATGACAAGTTAATATCACACCACATATACATGTACTTACTAGTTAGTATAATTATATAAGGTATTCTACCCTCCTTATCAAGGCTAGTTTGATTCTTTGATAGAGTTGCATTTATAATGGTTGTTTTTCTGAAGAATGTTTGTAAGGCAGGCTCATAATATAAATTGCATTCTAGAAAAACTTGGATTTAATTCTACAAGTGGTAATCCTACTTATACTCATTCTTCCCTTTCTAAGGAAGAAATTCTTCAAAATCACCTGTCAGTTTTGAACACTTTCAATATTTCACAGAGCCAAATTGATTTTGAACTACCTTATATATATTGGATTCCAAAACTTCATAAAAATCCTCACAAAGACACATTGCAGGTTCCAGTAAATGTTCGATCAAGCCTCTTTCGTTACTCCTCACTAAGATATTGACAATAGTGAAGGAAAAACTTCAAGAGTACTGTGCAACTATACATTCAAGAAGTGGCGTGAATCAGATGTGGATGCTAAAAAATTCTAAAGAACTTTTGGACACTTTGAAATCACAAGACTTTACAGAAATCAACAGCTTAAAAACTTACGACTTTTCAACTTTATACACAACAATTCCCCACGACAAATTAAAATCCAGGCTTTTTGATATCATTGACAACTGCTTCTTCAATAAAAATGGAACTCGTAAATCTACTTACCTCGTCATTGGTCATTTGCAAAATTATTTTGTTGAAACAGATTCTGATTGCACACATAAGTACTCTGAAATTGACATCAAGAAAATGCTTGAGTTTCTGATTGACAACATCTATGTGGTTTTTGGAGATCAAGTATTCCAACAATCTATTGGAATTCCCATGGGTACAAATTGCGCTCCGTTATTAGCAGACTTATTTTTATAGTCATATGAAGCAGAATTTATGCAAAATCTTATGCGTGAAAAGAAGAAACACTTGCTGTGGCCTTCAACTCGACATTTAGATATATCAACGACGTATTGTCAATTAATAAATCTTTTGCGTGAAAAGAAGAAAACACTTGCTGTGGCCTTCAACTCGGCATTTAGATATATCAACAACGTATTGTCAATTAATAATGGTAATTTCCATTCCTACGTCGATACGATCCTGGTGAGCTTGAAATAAAAGATACCACAGAGTCCGACACTTCTGTTTCATACTTGGATATTTTACTTGAAAAAGACACTAATGGTAATCTAACAACCAAGCTATATGATAAACGTGATGACTTGAACTTCCCTTACTTATGCAGCAATATACCTTCATCACCTGCATACGGAGTATATATATCTCAGTTGATTCGATATGCAAGAGCATGCTCTACGTATGAACAATTTCTAAAACGAGCTAAATTATTGACAAGCAAGTTGACGAAACAAGAATATCAGCAGTCTCGTTTAACGTCATCATTTCGTAAGTTCTATGGTCGATACAATGACCTTGTCAGCAAATGCAGTTGATCATTGAGTCAAATGCTGACTGACGTTTCAGGGGCGTAGCTTGACCTAAAGTTCTAGTGAGGCAAAACTTTTGTGGCCGGGGGTCTGGGGGCCGCCTTAGGCCCCCAGCACGTCCAGGGCGGAGCCCGGGTAGGGGGTTCAGGGGGGGCGAAGCCCCCCGACGGAAATTGAATTTGGGGTTTTTAGAATATAAAAATTATACTGTTCTGGACAGAAATTTCGTGATTTTTCCGAATTATGACATTCAGCATTCATATGATTCTACATGTATACATACTGTATTTCAAAGTATTTAATAGTGTAAATAAAAATGTATATTCAAACTTCTAACACATTTTCGAAAAAAAGTGTATTTTATTTTTTTTACTTATTTTTTTAAATATACCGGTATATTTAAATATAATTGAATTTGGATTAATAGGGAAAGATAATATTTAATTATTCACTAGTTTACCGGGATTTGTGAAATACTTGACGCCGATTCCAGATTTTATTCCGATTTGATTCTCCCTTTTCCATAGAAAGGTTGTTAACTTTGTCTTCTCCTTGCTGTTGTGGTCCATAAATGTTTTTCAAAAAAAAAAAAAAAAACTTTTAGATTTTAGAACTATATATAGAGCCCGATCTCATGAATTTTGACCCAGAACCAGTAAAATAATTTATAGAATTATTTAAATGATAAATAAAAACAATAAGGTTTTAAGAAATTATATACTAAATATTTTCTGCTATATGTATTATTTATTAATGGGAAAGGGAATATTGTTGAAAAATCTAGTGAGGCAGTTGCCTCATTGCCACAATGGAAGCTACGCCCCTGCGTTTTTCATACCAATTGTTAATCCATTATTTATACACTGAATTGACGACGGTCGGCAGGGGACGCTCACTCCTCCATGGCACCTGATCCCACCTCTGATGTTAGGGGGGTCCGTGTTTGCTCTGCTTTTATTTTGTATTGTTTTATGGACTTTGAGATTCAATACTGTTCGTTATTTCCATATTCTTCTTCAGTCGACGAATTGTAGAACATCATACTGGAAATCTGTTGCGTCATTTAACTTGGATATGGATTTGTTCTTTCTAAAGCTTTTTCCGAGACTGGTTTTTAAATATAGAAATTAAAAAAAAATCATTTTGTGAGTTTCATTCTCAATAGAAATACGAAACTATCTAATTACAGAAAAAATATTTAAGCACATTTTACCGGGCAATGTTAAACATTCCCTAGATTTCCTTATTTTACAAATGACACGGTTGCATGTACACTTCCCTGATGAACATCTATATCCATACTCCGGAACATTGCACAGTAAAGTACAATTTTCTCCAAAATATCCCTAGGGACACTCTGTACAAAAGAAAATGAAAAGTAAATAATTTTTCATAAAATGATAAAAAAAATGAGCATCTTTTCAGTATGACAATTCCAACTTTGCTCACGCATGCATTTATTCTCTGTTGAATTCCACATCTCTCCGACACAACAAGGTTTGTAGTTGAAAATTCTGAAACAATTCGAAAATGTCTTTAAGCGATCATTGAATAATTAACAAAATTGTAATTCTGTTAATTTATAATTTGAAAGATCAGCAACAAACAAACAAGATAACTGGTACCATCTTTCGCGAAAGACATTTCTAGCACATCTATTTACTGTCTTAGAAAATACAGATTTACAAAAAAATGTTTTCCATCTCCAATCTATATATTCAGTAAACAAGAAAATATGGTTGAAATACAGTATTGGAAATATACATAAATGTAATCTTTCCAGCGTACATTTTAAGATGTGGTATCAATACAAGACCGGCTAAGCTAAATTTTCTACTTATTTGTCAATGGACCTGCTTCAGAAATCATCCCTCTGATAATACATCAAGAAAATATTGATTTAATGCATGCAGGATCTCAAAGTCCCGATGTAGTAAATCATTAGTGCTTACAGATTAATAAAATTTGAGAAATAAATTCCTTTCATGATTCCTTCAAATTTAGCTTGGTTAGATAAGGTGTTTGGGGGTATGATTTGTAGATAAACAAGATGAAAAATCATATTTTAAAAATGTCATTTACAATGAAAAATTAAGAAAACTGGTTACGAATATGGAAGTTTTTTTCCGTAGCAGACAAAAGTAATATATCCAGATTGCCTACAGTCTCTCAGAAAACGATAGTTTATATGTTCTGGCCTTTTCTATAAAATAATATCAAATTTTATATAGGTATCGGGATTTCTTTTCTAATGATTTCAAATTGAATTCCATGTAAATACCTTTTTTATATTATTCTATTAAAGTCATAAAGTATGGGAGAAGAAAGTTTAATTTGAGATTGCGTCACAATGAATCTTGCACTAAAAAGGTTAATCTAAAGTCATTTACTAGATCTTGACCTTTATTATAAATTGTTAATTTGAATACAATATTGAATAAAAAGCTAGAACTTTCTGTTTCAAATTAATTATCAAAAAAATTATCACCAGCATAATTATTAGTAAATACAATGAGAAACATCTATGCCGGAAGGTTAAGGATGGCTTTGTAGTTATCTGTTAAATCACGTTAGCTGCAAGAATTTTGTTTCAATGACTGAGAAAAAGTATATCTTGTATTATAAAAAATATAACAAAAGAATGTGATTTGGTTGCTTTTTTGTAGATGACTAAAAAGAATTAAAACTGATGATGCAACCATATCTTTTTAGCTCGAGTTGAAAGCTCAAGTGAGCTTTTCTGATGATCGTTGTCCGGCTGTCTAGCTGTCCATCCGTCCGCAAACTTCTCGAATTTTCAACTTCTTCTGTAGAACCACATGGCCATTTTTTTTTTTTTTTACAAAACTTGGTACAAAGCCTCATTGGGAAAAGGAGAATTTTTAAAAATTGTTAAAATTAATGGCCAAGTCTCCTTCCAAGGGGAGATAATCAACAAAATGCAAAAATAGGGTGGGGTCATTAAAAAGTCTTCTCAACACCCACTGCGCCAGAAAAGCTGAAACTTATTTGGAAGCATCCTAGGGTAATGTACATTCTAAATTATTCAAATCATGACCTCTGGGGGTTAGGCGGAGCCACAATAGGGAATTAAAGTTTTATATAGAAATATATAGGAAATACTTTCAAAATCTTTTTCTCAAGAACCACTGGGCCACTCCACTGGGCCAGAAAAGCGGAAACTTATGTGGAAGCATCTTTGGGAAGTGTAGATTCTAAATTGTTCAAATCATGACCCCCCCCCCCCCCCGGGGGGTAGGGCGGGGCCACAATAGGGAATTCAAGTTTTACATAAAAATATATAGTAAAAATCTTTTCCAAAATCTTCTTCTCAAGAACCACTTGACCAGAAAAGCTGAAACTTATTTGGAAGCATCCTAGGGTAGTGTAAACTCTAAATTATTCAAATAATGATCCCGGGGGTAGGGCAGGGCCATAATAGGGAATCCAAGTTTTACATAGGAATATATAGGAAAAAACATTCAGATTCTTCTCCTCAAGAACCATTGGGCCAGAAAAGCTGAAACTTATGTGGAAGCAGCTGAAACTGATGTGGAAGCATCCTTATGTAGTGTAGATTCTAAATTGTTCAAATAATTACTCCGGGGGAAGGGCGGGGCCACAATAGGGAATTCAAGTTTTATATAGAAATATATAGGATAAACTTTCAAAATCTTCTTCTCAAGACCCACTGGGCCAGAAAAGCTGAAACTTAATTATGTGGAAGCATCTTTGGAAAGTGTAGATTTTAAATTGTTTTAATCATGACCCCTGGGGGTGGGGCGGGGCCACAATAGGAAGTCCAAGTTTTACATAGAAAAATAAAGGAAAAACTTTCAAAATCTTCTTCTCAAGACCCACTGGGCCAGAAAAGCTGAAACTTGTGTGGAAGCATCCTTGGATAGTTTAGTTTTTCAATTGTTCAAATCATGATCCCTGGGTGTAGGGCGGGGCACAATAGGGAATAGAAGTTTTATATAGAAATGTATAGAAATTTTTTTAAAATCTTCTTAGGAATTTATGTGGAACCTTCCTGGGGTAGTGTAGATTCTGAATTATTCAAATTTTGACCATTTAGAGTTGTCAAGATCAAGATAGCTATTACAAAGGGGGAAATCTGTTAAATGACAGCGTGGCAAAAGTCACTCAGGTAACCGATGAGGCCCAAGGGCCTCTTGTTTGCATTTGGATAGCCTTGGGGCGGATATGAAAATGTAAAGCTTCCTTCTATGCTCATGCTCTTATGACAAAAGCAATCATAAACACTCTTCTCAGATACCACATAAAACATTATTCGGTGAATATTTTCATTTGAAAATATATGTTTCAAATACTGACTTAAAAATATTGTAGACAATAAGATGAAAAAATACATACCCTTCGCACAGCGCATAGGAAAGTCGATAGTGCCATAAGAAAAGATAAACTGTGCAAAAATACTGCTCCAACTCTAGTTTCATATTGTAAAGGAAGGTACACAATTGCCAGATTAAAACGGTTTCATCTTAGCTACAGCATTTGTGTGTTGTTGAAATATGGAAAACATGGGCATACGGGGTTTGTCTAGCGACAGCGTTACGTATCTTTGAATGCGATGCGCAGATTGATTGGATTACCTTACAGCCAAAAATAGTGGTTGCTTCACAAAACCCTCTGCTCTCTCGTCTGTGTCTCCAAATAAAATCGAGAGAGTCCTCAACTTTTGGACAAAGTACAAAGGACTGATAAGTAGAATACTACAACTTAGTACAAGATCATATATCATTTCTGAGTGCATAAATGCTCTTATTAATTTAACAAATATTGAGGAAATTGTTAAATTTTTCATGCCTTCAATTTCTATTTCATCAGAATTTATGCGTAAACATTCCCAAACAAAAATAATCTAAATCTTTCCAAGCCAAGGGTTTTCAGTTCAGTTTACTCCCCTGGCTTGAAAAAATGGCAAACAAGTGAGATTATATTCTCTTTTATATAGATGTACATAATATACGAGGGTTGATCCAAAAGTATTGTCAGAGCGTCCATATGTTATGTATATGGCGTCATATTATCAAATATATACGAAAGCCCAGAAGGCTCATTCGAGATTCAAGTTTCGAAATACGAGATTCAAAATTCGAAATTCGAGTTTCGAGATTCAAGATCCAGATTAACTAATCAAATACGGGTTCAACATTTGATTACTTCCCTTTATTATGTTTTATCTATCAATAAATCGTTTAATATATTTATAACAAATGAGTCATTTGATAAAATTACAATACAAGAAAGAGTGTTATATATATTAGAAGGAAAGTTAAATAATCATTTGATTTTTGATCAGCAAGATATACTTCAATTAATATTATGACTTCTTAAATATTAAATAGAATACATATATCAGGAATATATATATTTTTGCATTGTCTACTGTATATAAAGGGTTGCTGACATAATAATACAGTTATAAATAGTGCCTAAGGATTAACAAAATCCCCACCCCTACCGGCAACACATGCCAATTTTTCCCGACACTGAAAATGTTACTTTAAAAATTTGAAAGGCAAGGTAGCCTTGATAAATAAAAACCGCGCTCGTTTTCCTAGTAGAGGAAATGCATTAAAATAAAGTATTCAATTACTTATCTTCATCTAAGGCTTTGATTTCTTGAACTAATTAACAATTATATAGATTGCAAATATGAATTAGAATAAATGCAGCATTCATTTTGTCTGATATCAAACAGTAGATTAGTCTAAATTAGCTGCAGAACTATAGCGTTATGGTTTTATATTTTAGTCTCTGACCATAGCGTTATGGTCAAAGACTAAAATATACTCGGTTTTTATTTATCAAGGCTACAAGGATTTTGTTAATCTTTAGTCACTATTTATAACTTTATTATTATGTCAACAATCCATTGTATTCTATTTAATATTTAAGAAGTCATAATATAAATTGAAGTATATCTTGCTGACCAAAAATCAAATGACTATTTAACTTTCTTTCTAATATATATAACACTCTTTCTTGCATTGTAATTTCTTCAAATGACTCATTTGTTATAAATATATTAAACGATTTATTGATATATTAAACATAATAAAGGGGAGTAATCAATGTTAAACCCGCATTTGATTGGTTAATCTGGATTTTGAATCTCGAAACTCGAAATTCGAATCTCGAATTTCGAACCTCGAATCTCGAATGAGCCTTTTGATTGGTTAGTCTGGATCTTGAATCTCGAAACTCGAATTTCGAATCTCGAATTTTGAATCTCGTATTTCGAAACTTGAATCTCGAATGAGCCTTCTGGGCTTTCGTAAATATATTATACCAAAAGATGCACATGTATAAATCTAATAAAATTGAAAATTTCATTTAAGGACCCTCTCTACACCAGTACAAAATGTTTTTGGACTTTGAAAAAATTATATTGAACAAAGGTAAATATAAAGAGCTTATCCTTGTAGTTTTCAATATGTGGTACGTGGCATATACCCCAGAAAAGATGTTCAAACTCAGCTTGGTATCAATGAACATGGTGAACAGAAATCACTGTTATTTACTTCCATGTAGAAATAATCATGAAGCTTGTGTCTCTACATAAAGTATATTTAGGGAAATAATAAAAGAAACATACAAAGACTATTAGATTATAAATTCAAAGATAATTTAAACTGTTTAGAAAAAGTCACTAAAATTAGTAACAGAGTATTTACCCATAGTTTTCAGGTTTTTACTTTTCAATGCAATTTGTTATACATACACTTAATCAAAAGACAAACAAAATTTTAAAAAATACAGATACAATGTTATAGATCATTGCACTTGAACCAAAAGACTTTGAAAGCATGTATTAAATTCTCTACACTTTGTGTCCTTTGCCTTTAATCTAATCGTACAAACAGTGTAAACCATTTTGGCATTTTGTTTGAAAGATCTAAGGATATACTAATCTTTTAATTTATTTATACATTCACGCACGAAGAAATTATGAGTGGAAAAAATGGATGTGCTCGGGAAAAGTATCAGAATGTTAAAGTTTGATAACAAGACTGATTTCAAAGTAACGGAATCAAATGTCAGCTGCTTTTGACCTAAATATTAATAGAATATAGTTACAGTAACTGTTTATTCGCCAAGCGCTCGGTACTTTAAAGTGATAGGTTCGGGATTTTCGAATGAGATTTTAAAAATTGAGCTCCCCTATAACAGTAAGGGATGACACATAAATAGTTACCATTAATGTATGCTTTCAGATCCATGGGAAATTCTGTCAAGTTTACTTTCTTTAAAATAGAAAATGGCAATGGAGAGCGGGAAACAATACAGAAAATACGAAAAATCCAGTGAATTATTCATCATCTGAGGAGGGATGAAATTTGTTATCAAAATGTTCTGGCTTGGGAAGCAAAATTCATGAAATGTGTAAATCGTTTGTCGTTTTCGAAACATCTTTTTTTTAAAAATGAAGACGTCTTTGTAAAGAAAAGCCCGTTTAATTTGATAAATTTTTACTCATTTCTAATTGTGACGACACTGTACATAGGATCAAAACTTTGCTGATCATTTTGTAAATCTCCTTGGCAAAATTTTTTCGAACGACAATGACACACTCACCAATGACAACACACAATAATATCACACCACATATACTTAGTATAATTATATAAGGTATTTTACCCTCCTTATCAAGGCTTGTTTGATTCTTTGATAGAGTTGCATTTATAATGGTTGTTTTTCTGAAGAATATTTCTGTCGACGAATTGTTGAACATCATACTTGAAATATGTTGCGTCTTATAACTTGGATATGGATTTGTTGTTCTTTCTAAAGCTTTTTTCGTGACTGGTTTTTAAAAGTAAAAATTAAAAAAAAATCATTTTGTGAGTTTCATTCTCAATAAAAATACGAAACTCATTACAGGAAAAATATTTAAGCACATTTTACCGGGCAATGTTGAACATTCCCTAGATTTTCATATTTTACAAGTGACACGGTTGCATGTACACTTCCCTGATGAACATCTATATCCATATTCCGGAACATTGCACAGTGAAGTACAATTTTCTCCAAAATATCCCGAGGGACACTCTGTACAAATGAAAATAAAAAGTAAATAATTTTTCATAAAATGATAAAAAATGAGTATTTTTATAGTATGAAAATTCCAACTTTGCTCACGCATGCATTTATTCTCTGTTGAATTCCATATCTCTCCGACACAACAAGGTTTATAGTTGAAAATCCTGAAACAATTCGAAAATGTCTTTAAGCGGTCATTGAATAATTAACAAAATTGTAATTCTGTTGATTTATAATATGAATGATCAACAACAAACAAACAAGATAACTGGTACGATCTTTCACGAAAGACATTTCTAGCACATCTATTTACTGACTTAGAAAATACAGATTTACAAGGAAATGTTTTCCAACTCCAATCTACATATTCAGTAAACAAAAAATATAGTTGAAATACAGTATTGAAAATATACATAAATGTAGTCTTTCCAGCATACATTTTAAGATGAGGTATCAATACAAGACCAGCTTAGCTAAATTTTCTACTCATTTGTCAACGGAGGTGCTTCAGAATTCATCCCTCTGATAATACATCAAGAAAATATTGATTTAATGCATGCAGGATCTTAAGCTTGAACTTTCTGTTTCTTAATAATTATCCCAAAAAAATCATCACCAGTACAATTATTAGTAAATACAATGAGAAACATCTATGCAGGAAGGTTATAGATGGCTTTGTAGTTATCACGTTAGCTGCAAGAAGATTGAGAAAATGTATATCTTTTATTATAAAAAATATAACAAAAGAATGTGATTTGTATGCTTTTTTTGTAGATGACTAAAAAGAATTGAAACTGCAAAGGGAACCATATCCTTTCAGCTCATATGAGCTGAAAGCTCAAGTGAGCTTTTTTGATCACCCATTGTCCGTCTGTCTAACTGTCCGTCCGTCCGTAACCTTTTCGAATTTTCAACTTCTTCTCTAGAACAACTGGGCCATTTTTTTCTCTCCCAAACTTGGTACAATGCATTATTGGGAAAAGGAGAATTTAAATTGTTAAAATAAAGGACCAAGTCTCAAGAAAATACAAAAATCGGGTGGGGTCATTAAAAAGTCTTATTCTCAAGACCCACTGGGCCACAAAAGCTGACACTTATGTGGAGGCATCCTTGGGTAATGTAGATTCCAAATTGTTCAAATCATGACCTCCGGGGGTAGGGCGGAGCCACAATAGGGAATTCAATATTTACATAGGAATATATAGGAAAAAACTTTCAAAATATTCTTCTCTAGAACCACTGGGCCAGAAAAGCTGAAATTTATGCGGAAGCATCTTTGGGTAGTGTAGATTCTAAATTGATCAAATAATGACCCCGGGGGTAGGGCGGGGCCACAATAGGTTTTCCAAGTTTTATATAGAAATATATAGGAAAAACTTTGAAAATCTTCTTCTCAAGAACTTACGTGGAACCTTCCTGGGGGTAGTGTAGATCCTAAATTATTCATATCTTGACCATTTAGGATTGTAAAGGTCAAGATAAGATATTACAAAGGGGGAAATCTATTAAATGACAGCGTGGCCAAAGTTACTCAGGTGAGCAATGTGGCCCATTTGCCTCTTGTTTACTTTTGGACAGCCTTGGGGCGGATATGAAAATGTAAAGCTTTTTGCTATGCTCATCCTCTTATGAGCAATCATTAACACTTTTCTCAGGTACCACATAAAACATTCTTCAGAGAATGTTTTCAATTGTAAAAATATGTTTCAAATACTGATTTAAAAATATTTTAGACAATAAGATGAAAAAATACATACCATTTGCACAGCGCATAGGAAAGTCGAAAGTGCCATAAGAAAAGATACACTGTGCAAAAATAATGCTTCAACTCTAGTTTCATATTGTACAGGAAGGTACACGACTGCGAGATTAAAACGGCTTCATCTTAGCTACAACATTTGTGTGTTGTTGAAACATGGAAAAACATGGGCATACGAGGTATGTCTAGCGACAGCTTTACATATCTTTGAATGTGATGCGCAGATTGATTGGATTACTTTTCAGCCAAAAATGGTGGTTGCTTCAAAAAACCTTCCGCTCTCTCGTCTGTGTCTCCAAATAAAATCGAGAGAGTCCTCAACTTTTGGACAAAGTACAAAGGACTGATAAGTAGAATACTACGACCTAGTACAATATTATAAATCATTTCTGAGTGCATAAATGCTCTCATTACTTTAACAAATATTGAGGAAATTATTAAATTTTTCATGCCTTCAATTTCTATTTCATCAGAATTTATGCGTAAACTTTCGCAAACAAAAATAATCTAAATTTTTCCAAGCCAAGGGTTTTCAGTTCAGTTTACTCCCCTGGCTTGAAAAGATGGCAATCAAGTGAGATTATATTCTATTTTATATACTCGTACATAATATACAAGGGTTGATCCAAAAATAATGTCACAGTGTCCATATCTTTTTTATATAGCGTCATATTATCAAATGTAATGTACCAAAAGATGCACATATATAATTGTAATAGAATTGAAATTTTCATTTAAGGACCCTCTCTACACTAGTACAAAATATTTTTTGGACTTTGACAAAATTATATTGAACAAAGGTAAAAATAGAGAGCTTATCCATGTAGTTTTCAATGTATGGTAGGTGGCATTTACCCCAGAAAAAATGTTCAAACTCAGCATGGTATCAATGAACATGGTGAACAGAAATCACTGTTATTTACTTCCATGTAGAAAATACGAGTACGTGTAAATAACATGTTTAGTTAATCTATCTTGGCTTTTTAAAATGTTAAGAATACTTGAATTGACAACAAATTGAGTAATATACGAGGGTTGTTCGAAAATTATTGAGACATTGTGGATATTTTGCTTTCTAATGAACGTCTTTCGGTGAAAATTTGCATGTACGTTTGACATACACTAAAAATTAATAAAAGCAAAAAATATATTACAAATATTAAATATTTTCTGTACAATGATATATAAATGCTTCAATAGTAGAGGTACCCGGAGCAGTCACGAAATCAGATATTGAAAATATGTAACATCAACGTTCTAACTCTTCGTGGACCTATAATAAGAGCGAAAATTATTCAGTTTATGTGCATAATTTTTCAGCTTTATTTCAAATTCATGTTGTGCAACTTTGTTACAATTTTGATCAGAAATACGGAGATCATAAAAAAATTAAGCGCGGGAGAGAAATCTGCTGAGAACGAAAAAAATGGATTTTGACGTCAAGAGCGGAGCAGCCAGCAAACCTTAAATTTTGTAATATGCTTTGTAAAACACTTTTCCAGACTAAACGACCCGCTAAAACAATAACAACGAGAAAAAATATTGTGATAGGGTTTGTTATTTCATTGGTATATTATACATTTATTGCATGATAGTGAGGGAAATATGAAGACTTATTCAGCCAAGAAAATCATATTCCCCGAGGGCTTCGCCCGAGGGGAATATGATATTTCTTGGCTGAATAAGTCTTCATGTTTCCCGAACATTCATGCAATGAATTGTTTATTATACCGAAACAAGCAAGCCTTTGAAATAAACATAAACTTTCAAATTCGGCACCGCTCTCAAATTCACTTTCATTCTTAACGTAAAGAACTTGTACTATAAAACCCTTTGTTCAACACATTGTCATCAGTTTTGTGACGTCAACCAGGCTATTGTGACGTCTACTACTCTCGGGAGTTTTCGTTCAACGAAAGAGAACTATATTGCGGGAAAATTCACTAGGTGTTCCGAAGAGGTGGAATATGATGAAAAGCGTGCCGACGACGGGAAATATGAAGTTTTACGGCCCGATCACGTGATAACCTAGAACCAATCAGATAACGCGTTGTGTAGAATATTTATAATGAGGTATAATAATACATTTTGTTTTACAATTAGTTTATCCAGAATAAAATCAAAAGCTATGGACGACCATCAGTTATTACGTACGTTATTAATATCTTTACGGTATTGATATCGTTGACCCGCGTTGCATAAATCGGCACTGCATGATTCTAAGTCATCCTTTCCCACAAATGAAAATTTTACATTGGGGTAGCAGTAGCATATATTTAAAAAAAAAATAGTTTAAGAAAAGAGAATTATTTTTGTAATGTTATACATGTAATAACAAAGAAGGAAATATGAAACGCGATCGTTTCACATGAGAAACCATCTCTGGCTGACGTGACGTTAAATGACGTAGCGTTGCTGCTCCGTGTCGATAGAAATATGCATGTTTATCATCTCACCAAAACTTTTCTTATTATCTTGGGAATTAAAAATTTTGCGGAAGTGTTTTATTCGTTCTTTATAAAATGTTGATGAATTTTCATGAAATTATCTCCGTCCTTTATGGAGTAAATGTAATTGTCTCAATATTTTCCGAACAGCCCTCGTACTGTATATTTCTATCACTCTTTAGTGTGCTTGTAAAGAGGCTTCTTAATAATGTTAACTTGACTATTTTATAGATGTTTAAAACAAAAAGCAGAGGGGATGTCGCCGCGTCACATCTAACAGTTTTTACAAAGTGTTTTTAGAATGAAAAAAGAGACACATTTAAATGATTAATCGCCCAATATTTTGATTAAGATAAAATTTACGTCACTTTCTAGTCCTTAGTTGAAAGCTAAATTGACGTCATTAGCACTTTTGATTATAGACATTGTTGTTTTACTCTGATGCATAAAATATAGGAAATGGAAAAAAAAACAACGCCGCAACGAGCTGTTATGCATTTTTGCTTCAAAATGAGGAAATCGCCAGTAGAGACAGTTGCGTTGATTAATCACTCACAGAGAAAAGCATGTAATAAGAAACATGTTTATAGCTGGTTTCAGCAATTTTTGGCGGGTGATTTAATTTAAGCAATTTAATTTACATCATTAATTTGTAGGTTCACTGTGCTTGTATGGTACTTATGTTGGTCCTAACGGTGACGTCTTTTATGATCATTATACTGGATTCAGAGAAATACGAAGATGTAAGCCAAAAGGAACTAAAACTGAATATCAGTCCAGTATCATTGGACACGATAAACATAATCTTCATGTAAAACTGATTGATTTGCTTCAATTTACCATATATTTTTAGCGAATATCTGTTAAATAATAATAATAATAATAATAATCTATTTTGTGATGAATAAATGATTAATTGAAAATTATGAAATATGATTTTTTGATTTCAGAATTTAGAAGCATCAGACA